GTTGGCCATTAGAGAGAATCACTTTATTATCATAAAAGGGTGCTGTCCAATTACATTGGGTTGCTTTAAACACAGCATACTTATTAATCGCTACAGACAATTTTCCAAAACTATTGATTTAATAAACCTAATAAATCTGAAGACCGGGAACGGGTATTGCTGGAGTGGACAGAGGATTTAAATTGAAGGAGCTCGGTGATGTATGAAGGACGGCCGGAGTGAATGACTTGGAAGAGGAAGGATGCCAGGAAATACTTACGGCGGTAAGGAGGGTAAAGCCATTTCAACTTTTCATAGAAACAGGAAACATTGGCGTCTCTTGGGATCCCGAAGATGAATTGTACAAAGCAATTTATCAAACGTTTATTGGCATATAGTTTAGATAATTTTATTGAAAGTTGAAAAAAATGCGAGCTTTTATGTGCTCCCAGAGCAGAGGTTCTTTTATGAACCATTTTATTGCTTTTGAGGTGAACATAGACTTTTGTGATTTGGCATAGGGACTCTCATCTTGCACAGATAATGCGTTTGTATCATCAGGGGTGCCCAGAAGGGTTTTTTTGGGACAATTTCTGAGGGGGTCATATTTTGACGGGATTTTGAATGCTTGAGGGGGGCACATTTTAACGGGATTATGAATTTTCCGAATGAAAATTTTCAGGATAATTGGCAAGGGGAAACGTGGAACAGACAGCAGCAAGTATAATTGTTTATTATCTATGATTTTTCTAATACCACTTCCCTTTGCTCTGGTTTTAAGAAAAGATGAGCAATAAAATATATTGTAAGGAGAGGAGGGTAGGTTCTTGCCACATCAACCTTGAGAAGGATAGGCACCCTTATGTATCATGTTATCGATAGCTCGCTATGCTTCGATATATTAATGAAAGTTTCAGGTTTAAACCGGTTGCTGTGCATTTATAAATCTTCTCTTTCGCTTTTGAGATAGGCAGTGTACGTTTACAACAGGTTGCTCCACATTGAAAACATAAATACATCGGAGCAGGTGAATCCGTTTAAGAAATAGCTGTTGCGCTCTCGGGCTCACGCATGCGTGGCCGCGTTCTCATCTCAATGGAATTTATGACCTCCCACCTAACAAATGACTCTATGTAAATGTAAATCTATCCTATCCCCACGCTGCGGTAATGGCCAGCTTCGGCTGCCCCCGGTCTTGAACGGATATTATCGGAACGGTTCGATATATCAACTCTTAGCCTCACACCATCCAGAGATAAATTGCACCAATCGATGAAAGATTAAGATATTCTACTCTGACTACATCCAACCTCTTATCTCTTCGTGTAGTTAATTAATCCGAACAGACCCTTACAAGATGTATGAGCATTAGATGATCAAGTGTTGGAGATAATATTTTACAAAGCTATTAATAATCACCACCATTGCCGGATTTACTGAGTTAGGGGCTTTCGTGGTAAATCACCTCCGAAAGTGATTTTTTTTTTTCTTTTGTCCATATATGTTTATGTATAGCTATCAAATGTAAACACATTTGATCAAGAAAAATTATAAGAACTTTTTTTCTAAAATATAAGAAATTATCTCTAAAAGCACTGTTGTTGGCGTATTTTTTTGTTTAATTTAAACATTAATTCATATAAATAATTAATGTTAATATTTATTAATAAAAAATAATAGTTCACCAAAATGAAATTCTGGATCCGCTATTGACGTTCACTATACATGTGATATTAGGAAAAGTATTTATAAATATTAATTCTGCGAAGTAATAATGTAAGAGTATAATGAATTATGTGATGCACGTAAAAAAAAACATTTCATATAATTAAATCAGACTATTATATGAGAGCAGTAAAAATATTTTTTTTTTTTTGTGTGTGTGTGTGTTGGCTTTACAGACCCCGTAGATCTTTTGCCGCCTTAACAAGCCTGCTCCAGCTCTGCCTGCCTTGGGCAATTTCTTTCCATTTGTCTGCACGCAGCTCTGTAGCATCTTTGTTTATTCTATCTATCCATCTGCTTTTTGATAATAATAAGCCAACTTATTATCAAATGTTGGAGATAATATTTTATAAAGCTATTAATAATCACCACCATTGCCGGATTTACTGAGTTAGGGGCTTTCGCGGTAAATCACCTCCGAAAGTGATTTTTTTTTTCTTTTGTCCATATATGTTTATGTATAGCTACCAAATGTAAACACATATCAAGAAAAATTATTACATCTATCCATCTGCTTTTTGGCTTTCCACGTGTTTTTTTGCCTCCTATAGAGACATTCATTATTACGTAGAGACTTCCATATGTATTGCAACGAGCAACATGCAACACCCATCTTAACCTTTGTGCCTTCATATTATAGGATATTAATTGACCAGTTTCAGTAAGCAGTTCTTTCTTCTCCATGTGTTAGAACTCTGATCCAAGATCGCTCCGGTTATCGTTTGGAGGATTTTTCTCTCAAATCTTTCAACACTTCTTTCTAGAGTGATGGTTAATTTCTAGGTCTCACAATTATATATAAGAACTGACGTTATCATAACCTTGTACACCCTACATATGAGACTTCTTGAGATTTTTCGAGATTTCAATACCTTTGAAAGGGAGAAGAAAGTTCTGTTTGCGCTTGTTACACGCTGGTCTATTTCTGCCAGTTGGTCATTCATTGAGGTTATTGTGGAGCTGAAGTATTTTTCTCTATATGAATTTTTCTACTCTCCGGAATGATTTTTCTTCTGCTCAGTTCCTGTTATTGTGGTGGAATTTTCGGCTTATTATCATATATTTTGTTTTGTCTTCATTTACTTGTAGGCTGATCTGTTCTGCCTCTCTTCTCAGAGTCTCAGCGAGTTTCTCAATGTACTCTTGAGTGCTTCCAAGAATAGCTATATCATCTGTGTATTGAAGGATTTTATGATTCATTCCGACGTGGATCCCTCCATTTTCCTGCTAAGTTCTTATTACCTTATCCAGGGCTAAGTTGAACAACATCGGTGATACTCCATATCCCTGCCGTAAGCCCGTTCGAACTTTGAAGGCTTCAGATATAGAAGACTTGGATCGGATTTGTGATGGACTGTCTCTGATAATAAGTAAATTGATAAGAAGTGAATGAAAAATAAATTGTATGTAAGATATATAAAAATTTAATAATATTAAGTAATAAAGTAACGGTGGCAAAGTAACAATAATAAAGTAATGAAATAACGACGAGCATTGTCATCGAAAGAGGTGGATTCATCCATTAACCAGGCAAGTGGAGAGTTATTTCCTGAAAAACCTCTTTTCGTATGTTGACGTCTTCGAGAAATAATGAATGAGACGTGTCGAATTGTTTATATTTTCTGTTTGTTTTATTTTTTCACATGTTCATGGTAATTAACTGGGTTAAAAAAATCCAGTGACAAACTAACCAAAGCAAAACTGCTTTGGTTAGTTTATCACTGGATTTTGTAAATAACGACAACAATATGTTATTGGTTTATGTTTATGTTATTGGTCTTGGCTGATATCTGACTACCGTATTCATAATATATAAATAATCTAACCGAACAAAGAAAACTTTAATGTATTAAAATTGAGATAAAGTGTAACAAAATCTAATAGCCAGCTCTAATGAAAACCCAGAAACAAAGGGATTGAATACGAAGGACAATAACAAAAACGATACACCTTTATAAACGGGGAAGACAAAGCTCTGTGCCTTGTTAGGGACTCGGCTTGTATCTCTTTGAATTGATTAACATCTGCAATGAGATCTGTGCACTATTCTCAGAACTTGTAGGCGTTCCCATCTTTAATTTAACACTCTCGTCAACTAATAGCGGCTTGCACATGGTTTTCAAACGTGAACTTATCTTCTATTTTTCATATTGTCAGTTTGAATAAACTGCTGAAGAGACCATGACAAGCAATGAAGTGATAGGTAATAAGAAGTTTTGACTAATTCTACGATAAGAAGATACTTCATATCAGTCATTCTAGAAAAATAATATTTTCCTAATGTTTATGAAACGAACATAACCTCATGAGTTCAGTCTCCTAGAAAATTTCTTCTGGAACTTACGAACAAAGTTTCAAAAAGAATATAATAAAAAACCTTTCCCCTCCCTAATGATCAAAGCCAGATGACCGATTTGAAATTCCGCAATAAAAATATGTAATATTCTTTCTAATATATAATATCCCTCAAATGTATAAAATAAAAACTGGTTTATTTGCTTTTAAATTATAGAAAACTAAAAATAAAATGTCGAAAAAGTGTATTATCATTAAAAAAAAAATTAAATATGCATGTTACCGGATTGAAACAACAAGAAACCGCTCGACGTTTCCGATTACTTCAGCACTTACTAGACAAACGCTCTAAACTTCCAATTAATTACAAAAGACTCATATACTTGACTATAATAAGGCCTATTTGGACTTACGGATTTGAGCTATGGGACTCCACTAAACCATCGAATTCCTCTCGTATCCACCCCTTAAAATCCAAAATCCTTCATAAAAATCTCAATGTTCCCTACTTTTTCACGAATAAAACCATCCATAATGACCTCAATGTTTCTTATGTTTTACAACTGGCCCACTCCAGATATCTATCATTTCATAATAAACTTCAGAATCATCTGAACCCTCTCGTTTCAAACCTTGCTTCCTCTTCAATTCCTGATAAACCTCCGAGGCGTCTGAAAAGAAGATGGCCCCGTGATCTCCTAATGTAGACATATCATTAGAGTGCTACCATTTGGTAGTTTCTCAACAAGTTATTTCACGTCATTATATCCATATATTCAAATTTACTAAATGTATTTCTTTAATACAACTGTAAATATCATTAAGAAATAATATATATATATATATATATATATATATATACATAGATATAAAACTACTCCTTAGTTTTCTAGATAAAACATGCCGACGCTAAAATCCCCTTCATTCAAGAAAGAGAACTTGATTTTTTTTAAATCAAAAATTACAGACCGCTTACCGATTGTGGTACTCATGTTTTGGACATGGTAATCTTTCTGTCTAAGAAAGGGTTACCATGTCCAAAATAGTAAATGCGATAGTCTATATCGAGTAAGTGAAAAATAAATCATTTCAGGAAACTTGTAATTTATATATCTATAAATTAATGTGGCTGATAATCTATACGTCCTTAATACGTAGACGACCTTCAAAAGTTATCCGTACTCAAAATACAATCAAATAAATTTAAAAAATCATTCGTTCAAAAATATAATAACGTCAAATACACATAAAATAAATCAATAAATAAACTTCTAGTTCTTTATCTGAAATAATTCCAATAAACGTTCCCTGGAAATTCGAAAAGTCGTCATTTACTTAATAAAGTGGTCTAACGACTTCTTAAGTCATTCAGTTTTAACCTGATTATAAATAATTGTTAATTTTATTCGAATAAAATTGTACTGATTTTATAGAAATATTTAAATAAATATAATAAAATATAATGATAAGTAGTACATTTTTTTAATTTAATACATGAAAATAATGTGTTGTGTTATAATTAAATTAGACTATATGTGAGTAGTGGAAAATAAAATTAATAACTAGTAAATGGAAAATATGTGATATTTTGAAATCTGTCCTCCCTGTCTTGACCAGGTATCCTCAAACCCCTATTATTGTTCAATAGTCAATGCTTGTTCATTTCGTAATGTATTAAAACTGGCTTAGAATCTTCTATTTTGTTATATTATATCAGTAACGAAACCTCTGCCCCTCCAACTATCTAATAGAGGTAGCCAATTCAGCGCCACCTCGATAGTATCCTGTTCAATTATGATTATCAGCTGATCATGTAATTATATTAGGCCTCGTGAGAGCGACCTCTACTTCGGTGACAATGCGACTCAACAAAGGCGCACGATTACTTCCGCCAAGTGGCACGGACCTCCGATCGAATTTCCTCGTCTGTGTTTTAAAAATAAAACTACTTGAAGATCTTTATAATTTCGCTGTTTCCCAAGATATTTCTACACTTACGATTCCTACAATTTTGTGATTCAATTCCTATAAAAACCAGACAGCTCCTTTCGTTCCTTATTTTCCTCCACTTCGACTTAGGTTGCTTGGGGTATGGAGGATAGTCCCCAAGACTGGAGGAGGAATTGAAGAGACTTATGAAGTGCTTCATAAGATTCCTCAACATACACCGAGTTGATGAGGCTTTGTCCTAATTCCCAAAGGCAATTCCTTCTTGGTGTTTTCCTTTTCCAAGTCCTCAGAACCCAAAATATTCTTTACGTTTCAGAACTCCTTACCCTAAGCTCCTCTATCCCCTCTCTTAATACCAGATCTCAACCTATAGACCTATGTGTTCCCTCCCATAAAATAACTTCTTTCAATAAATCCTTCGTCATTCGTGCTACATCCTTTTGGATCTCCTTGCCTATCTCCATACGCCAAACCAAGTCCACAAATGCCTTCAAAAAACTCTTATTTCACCATCCTACTACACAGTAAAACATCAGCCAGCTTGTAAGGAAGTTTAGGCAATGTAAATACAAATGCTCACCAATAGTTAAATGAAAAGAACCTTTTTATTTTTATATTTATTTTTCTCTACGTATTTTTTATATCTATCAATTTCTTTTCCTAGTATTTTTTGTATGTCTCTGTGTCATATGCACATGCCAGACTGAAGTATATATTTTCTGAACTCTTTTATTATTCTAAGGGAACTTTAGTTCCAGGATAGATTTTTTTTTCATTTCATTTCATTTTCACTTACATATCCATTTCGAACTAATTTCGATTCCTCTTAGCTTCCAGACAATTCGCACATATGATTCTCCACAAGACATAACTGTTTCTTCTTAGAACGTTTCCTCTGCTACGCTCCGCCGAATACCCCTCCTTCCATTTCTTAATCTATGACAGACACGGGGTTATGGAAAGCTGTGACCGGCATGTGTAACCAATGAGGACCTCTATAAGTGGACGCTGTCTGTTGAAAGCTGTCGTGTTCCAGTCTTCGAGAAAACGCTGCCGTGACTGATAACTCTGGCGCCGTCCTCCTTTGTCCGTCACCTCCAAGTCTGATTCTGGCCCAAGTGGCAGTAAACGTTTATCGGAAGGACAAGTCCCGGGTATTTCAGACTGAGTGAGGATTGGTCAAAAAATTCAATGTCGAAAAAAAATACGACTGTAAACCACCAGTAGTTATAAAAAAAAAAAAAAAACTTTTCCATTTCATCGAACCATATGAAGGATAGGAAAAAAGCTTTGACAAAAATTAAAGTATATAAGTGAAGGTATACCGCACAGACAGAGGCAGAATGGTCTCTAAAGAAAACATTGATTACTAGCCTTGCGTGATAATCTGCGTTACAGACCCCTCCTTATCAATTATTAACACTCGTTTTAAACTTCGAGAATGTCTTAATTTTATCGTAATCCATACCTCTTTTATTTACAAGCATCCTCGGAAGTGGTGCGTTTTTAATCTCGAGATCAGTAAACATTGTCAATTTAATGGAGTGTTAAATCTCATAAACACCAATTTGCTTATCACTTAGACCTTAAGATTTCAACACAAAATCGATAAAAAAAGTTGGCCTACAAAAATGTTTGGCTTCTTGGCCTAACGGCCCATTTTTATTGTTATTATTGTACATCGCCTTTTTTTCTCATATTTTTTTATCAATCTTACGATTCAAGTAGAAAGCAAATGGGTTTTTATGAATTTTTAGTACCTCATTACATTGACAACGTTTCTCTTAAATTTTCAGATTGAAAACCATTTCTGAACATTTTTGTAAATAAAAAAGTTGTAAGCTATGAATAAATGAAGCTTTTCACCAAGTTTTAGACGTGTGTTAATAATTTAAAAGGAACAAAAGAGTAAGAGGCTCAGAATGACATAAAATAAAGAAATCCCCTATTAGGGTCTTCCGTTATATAATTCGTTTAACTAAATCAACCTTAATTTAATAATAATTGTTTTTCCTATTTTTGAGAATCTTCCCCCGGAAAGTCTCCATCTCTCTCCTTTCCCGTGGATACGTCGCTACTTAACTGAGACAGAAAATAATTTAAAACTAATAAATTGACATATGGTAGTTGACTCACACGAATAATTCACGTAGCATATTCCACAATGAACAAATGACAGTATAATACGGTATTAAGTAAATGTAATTTATTATGTGGAGAGGGAGAAGAAATTAATTTTATTTTCCTTAGTCTATTACAATATTTCATTAAAAGTACTAAGCCAAAACATCTGTGCAAATTACGATAATTTTTTTAAAAAAACGTCTAATTCTTAGGGGCCTGCTTATAGGTCATTTACGTCTTACCCATGGATACCTGATGGCTCGTGATTCTTCGCCAACATGCCAAACATGTGGGACTCGTCTGACAGTGAAACACATTTTAACAGAATGCAAAGATTATGAAACATTTAGACTGTCTTGTGACTAGACAAACGATCTTCACTTCATTTTACAGGACAATACAAATGAAATTGACAAATTATTTTCTTTTCTGAAATGTTCGAAAATTGAAAATAGAATCTAATTCTTAATGAAAATAAGGCAATAATGACCCTAGTGGTTGAAGCCTTTAATAAAAAATAAAAAAAAGTCTGATTTGAATATTTTTTGGGGGGATTTATAAGCCTTTGAATTTATCATAATCTATTGTAAGTACAACTCACCCTAAATTGTATACTTCTGGAACTATGATCAAACAACCTTTCCTTTTCTTTCTGATGTGCTAATTTTTTCCTCCTGAAGGAGAAGATAATTTTCTAAATGATTGTTAGAAGATGTGTCATGCCGACAAAAAAGAGTATTACCTTAGCGAAATAATATATATAAATAAATAAATATACATCATATATGTATAAACGGTAAGACGCTGAACCGAACTGAAGTTATGAGAAAGCGATGAAAGAGCTGTACAGACAGGCACCTGTTGGATAATTCCAGGACATTTATCAGAGCCCCTCCATTACCCCTGGAATTATTCATACAGCTTTATTTTAATTGCTCCATATATACTCGCCTCTGTCATATTAAACTAGTTCACTTGATAAATACTATATCTTGCATTCATTCCTATATCATAGTGTCGCTACTTTATTTCTTCTATGTTTAATGATTTATTTATTCTATTCAATACTTACCTCTGTTTGATTTAATATTATTTTATTCTATACTCTAATAAGAATGATTTCTATCAGCCTGAACTATGGTATGCTGAATCCCGCGGACGGAGTTATGCTTTTAAAACAGGGATTTTGGGCCACAAAAATCAATTGGCGTTACTATTTCCGTTAGAAAAAAAAAATTGTACTAGTAAGCACAAAAAAACATATATACGGAAAAAAATACAAGAGTAAAAAATCGATCTAAAATACATTTGAATAAATTAATTCATTTAAGATATATTATAATTCTTAGCCCAATAAGCCGAAACTTCCACCTCAATAACTGTGTTTTTGTATAGAAGAGAAATTTTCTCTCAAATCTTCAATTGAGAGAAAAATTCTCCGCACGAAATGAACTGAGATCAGAGAACTAACGCATAAGGGATAAAGACCAATAAAGAACTGCTTATAGAAATTAGTCTATCAATATCTCATGACATGAAACCAAGAGAGTTAGGTTGGGCGGGGCATGTATCTTGGATCAATCCATCCGAAAGCCTCTACACAGCAATGAATTCTTTACTAGTAGACAAGAGACAGAATACGTATAAGTCCAAAATCAGATGAATAGATTGAATAATAAAAAAATCAGTAGAGCTGTATGCAGATAACTGGAAAGAAATAGCCCATGATAGGTAGAGGTGGAGAAGGCTGGTTAAGGTGCAAAAGATCAATAAGTCTGTATGCCAATTAAAAAAAAGTAGTTATGATTGGTAACGTAATGAAAAATAGCCCTTTGAAATTTTTTAATCTTTTACTACCGTTGATTTTTTCTTTCTCAAACGCCTCTAGTTTACTGAGTATTCTTCAAATCAAGTTATGTACAGAAGGAAAGCGTAATGGCGCGATCATTTGATATGGGAAGAATGTTTTCTCTCAATTGGAGTTGACCCCTAGGACCCGGTTCGTTCCATCATTTCCTTTTACAGCGGAGATGTTTCCGTGATAAGTTGCGGTGCACCTCCTCACTTTCCATTGCTGCTACCACTGCCGCCCTTCCAAATTGACCAATCATAAAACAGTTATTCTCAGGGCATCATCCGATTTCTCTGCAGTGTCAAATGGCTTTTGCAGCCTCCTTCCGTATTTCTTGATGGCAAACTGTGTCCCACAGATCGAAATGTAGCTTTTTAACCCTAGAACCATGAGCAGATCTACGGGGGAGGGGCTTTGAAGGTGAAGCGTCCCCCCAAAATGGTAAAATATAACCATGGTTTATAGAAAAAAAATATTAAAACATTATCTCTTAAAGTATTATTTTTCGTGTAATCACATTTAAAAGAATTTTAGGAATCACTTAAACACCATTTCATCCAAAGTAATTATCGTTATTTTTATGAAAAAAACTTTCGGGCTGAAGCCCTCTCCCCCCCACCCCAAAATTCAATTCTGGATCTGCTAGTGCCTAGAAAGACACACTGGAGTGTGACACAGCCCACAATATTTTAATATTAATTTACTTTTATATAAGTAACTCTTTGGCGCTTAACTTTTTTAGCGATATATACATATTAAATTTTAACTTTATGTTAGCATATAAAATATATTCTCTGAGGTTACCTTAAATTTATTTACTTTTTTGTTTTTCTGAAAAGCATTTGAGTCTTCCGGCGCAAGACAATTAAATTTTATGATAATTGAAAGTTTGGGGTGTACACAGCAATCACACACTTACACCTTATAAGAAAGCACTAGCGGATCCAGGAATTAATTTTGGGGGGGCTTCAGCCCGAAAGTTTTTTTTTCATAAAAATAACGATAATTACTTTGGAAAAAAAGAAAGAAGCTAACTAACCTGTATGAAATGGTGTTTAAGTGATTCCTAAAGCCCTTTAAAATGTATGAACAATAATACTTTAAGAGATACTTTTTAAATATTTTTTTCGATAAAACATACTTATATTTTTGCATTTTGGGGGGCTTCACCCGAAAGCTCCATCCCCCTCCCCCCTCCCCGTAGATCCGCCCGTGTAAGAAAGCAGCCCTTCTCCCTTATGTCAGTATTGTCATTGTGTGCTCTCCGTTAAACATATTTTTGAGGAATGTATGTAATCACTACATTTCAGGTATAAATAGGATAGGATTGATCCCAAATTTGTCTATAACTCTTAATGACAATGAAACTTAAGTCGCATTGGTATTTGAATTTCTAAAAATACAGCAACTCCTTTCTAAATTATAGCACTTTTTCTATTTGTTATTTCATTTCATTCTGCAACTTCGATTATATATAAATTTTGTGCATAGTTTTCTATAGTGCTCTTTATTTATTTATTTATTTTTTCTTTAATAATATTATCTATATTAACAACAAATAAATTTTCCTCTACAAATGTGGCCCACTCCCTCCCAAAAAAAATGTTGATGGCACATTTTGCGCCATAGAACTCTCTTCTGTGAACACCTGGCAACATCCATGTTTCAGGTTCTTGTTTCTGGTGGAATAATACATTTTTTATATTCTTCTGAGATTCTGCAGTTACTTTCAAACTGCGCACGTATTCCAATGATGACAAGGGTCTAGTTAAAATGGCTACTGATATCTCTGAATTGCAAAATCTCTTAACATAATTCTTAAATTGATTTCCAAATTTTATGTTTCATTTGTCAGTTGAAATACTATATTTTTTTATTATGACCCGAAATAAACATCAAATAAAAATTAGATGTGTAAATTCTAGCCTTATTAAAGATTGTTCATTAGTGAAAATTGTAAATAAACCAGGCTTTTAATAATTCTTTAAAGGAATAATTAGTATCAGAAAAGAAGTATGGTGATAAACTTAATAGAAAAAGTCATTTTTCATGTGATTAATATGAAATTTAGCTAAAGGAATACAATATTTTATTTGTTATTTAACAAATTGAATTTTAATTAATTCAAGTTTACTTTATTATACCCAAATGGTACTAAATAAATTTATAGCCATCCTTGCTAAAAAAAAAAAAAATAATAATAGATGGTATGAATAGTTCATAATTATTATTTTTTTATTATTATACAATTTCTAGCGTTATCAGCTACAGTTAAATTTTTTAATAAACATTTTTATTTTTTATTGAAGCTCTTAAATCTAACTTCAGAAAAATTGTACAGATGTTGTTATTCCTGGGTTGTAGAGATTTATGACTTTTTAAATTATGTCATAAAAAGTAAGCAGCATACTTCAGTCAAAAATATTCTTACAGATTACATGATTGACTGCAGGATTTATTAATACATAACATTATTTTGATTACATATATTCCTTTTTATAGCCTATAATATAAGCATTTGTTACAGGAGAAAAGCCTTATGAGTGTACTTGGGAAGGTTGTACTTGGAAATTTGCTCGCTCTGATGAACTCACTCGACACTTCCGAAAACACACAGGGCAAAAACCATTCAAGTGTCATCTATGCCAACGATCCTTCTCAAGATCGGATCATCTGTCCCTGCACATGAAGCGACATTAGTCTATTTATATATCAAGCTTTCTAAAGTACAAATCACTGTAAGAAACAGTTTAAAAATGAAGTGTAGTAAATAATACACTTGATAAACAAATTGTGTTATAGCACAATACTTATTGCATTTTGTCCACTTTTTTCCTAGTGAAATGAAACATATTTTATTGACTCCAATGTTTCTATCCACCATAGACCAAAATTAGCAAGTATTGCTAGCTCTGTTAACCAAAATAGTAGTTGATATTTTTAAAGATTTGAGAGTTTAATAATGCCCGGTAAGGGAAAGACAAAAAAAATCACAATCCTGTTATGTTATTTACTTAAACTAGAATATTTTTAGTAATACAGACTTATACAGCATTGAATATCATTTTTAGACTTATCAACTGTTGATCTTATAGATTTTTAGTGGTTGTTGTTTTAGATATTATCTCAGAATTCAACATTAAAGTCTATCTAATAAATGGTTTAATCTCATGACACCTTAAGTATATATAAACTTGACATTTTTCTTCTAACATTAGTGTATCCATTTCGTTCGTCTAAAGATATCATTTACGTTTTTAAAATGTTAATAATAAATTTAGTTCTTTAGCATTAAGTTAAGCAGCATAATAATTTCATTGGATTGCTTTATTGGTGCATTTTTATTTTCAGTAAAATACTTCATTTAATGGAGTTATTTAATAGTTTTAATAGATAGTAAATATATCAGATGCTTAGTTTAAGTTATAAAGGGATTCATGGGTATTAATTATTATATTTATTGTACAGGAATCATGTGAATATTGTGATTATGTAAATAAATAAATTTTTATTGAAAAAGGAAGGGAACCAATGTTCAGTAATATAAATGTTTGATATTGTTAAAGATTTGTTGTGTTATTTGTTTTATGTATATTTTTATATATTTATAACAGATTAAATTTATTAATAGTATTTAAGGAGCTAATACCAATGTCAAAATAGGGCATTACAAATGAAATTAATACTTTGGAATATTCTAGAATCATCTTCATATTTTTAAAATAAAAGAAAACTTATCAATTGTAAAGAATAAAACGACTAAAAAGAGTAATTAAATTAAGACAAGGTTATTTGAGTTTGTATTAACAATAAAATAGCAGTAAAAAATTATATGTACATTCAATAGTTCAGTTTAGGGATGTTGTGAAAATATATGATAATACGTTACGTTACATTTGAGAAAAGTTTCATTGTTAATAAGAAATTATTTCTTATATCTGTGTCTTGGTGCTAAAAGGGTCTAGTTAAAAGAAAATTTGGTTTTCATGAGAGCTTCGACTCCTTACAAGACGATTGTGATAGTTAAATCATGCAAAGCGTCATAGGTTAGGTAATTTTATAAAATAATTTTTAGTTTTTGTGGGAAAACAACTAGAATTGATATTCAGAAGAAGTTCACAACTTGGGTTATGATAAGTTAACCATTACTTTTTACTTTATTAAAAAAAGAATTTTCAAAATAAATACATTTATAATATTGAATAGGAGGTGAGCTTTTACTTAAGTGAAACAATATATAAATGGTATATTCCATAAAGGCTGCAATTGACAATTTAAATGTGTACTTTTTAAATCAGATTTTGTGATCTTTTCTATTTATTCACATTCAGGTTGTTAAATATTTGTCTCCTTTCTAGGTGTAAAACTTTTAAAGGCGCTAATTTCTTTCTGTTTCATTGTAGATTTATAAAGAAGCTAAATAATTATTCAGATAAAAATGAGCAAAAATTGTAGGTTTAAAAACTGTTGCTTACAAGATTTATATCTGCTGTACGACCATTTCATTTCAAATAATCCAAACTAAATTTAAAACTAAATCTATGGCCATGGATTGCCATAATTTTTCAAATATTTTTTATGTAAAATCTGAGAACAGGGGCTTCATATCCTGAGCGATTTGATATGAATTGACCTTTTGATTATATGATTAACTTCAGTTATATCATATCAGATGAAGTGGCTATATGCTATGACAAAAATCTGAAATCTTAACCTCCAAAAAATTACATAAAATTAAAGTTAATATTAATCTCTCTAATACAATTTATAATGAGAAAACGTACAGTTGAACCTCTATTTATTAAATTGAATTGTTTCTATAAAACATTTAAAGTATAATAATTGAATTTTTTTTTAATCCAGAGATGTACCTAATTTAGTTAGTTTTTTTTTAGGACTAGAGGGTTTCTTATTAGATTAAAAGTAAATAACATGAAATAAACAATCAAGGACATGTGTTTATTTATGGATTTTTATTTATTAAATTATTTATTTTGTGCAATGATTATTATTTACATATGAACTATGTTCATAAATATTAAATAGAAGAATGTAATGATGCCATACTTTTGTAATATCCACAAAAAAGTTCTTATAATCCTACATCTTACAGACCAGCTAACGCCATACTCCAACTTTACATTTGAAAATAAAATAAAATACATTGGTCTCTAAACATGCTTGTTCAAGACTTCTATCTGATGACATTAATGAAAAAATATATTGCTAAACAAAACATATCATGTTCGGAGGAGATAAAAACCCCCAAATTTAACAAGGCTCGCATCTATGGTTGATTTAAAAATAAATGTTATTAAGCCAACTGTGTTCTAATAATAAAGCTGTTTTAAGAATAACATTTTTTAATTTTACTTTTTGGTCAATCCGTTTGTTACACTATTCGTCCTACAATGCAGCATGGCTTGAGTACCAAACGAGGGTAATCAGAGGAAATTTACTGAATGTCAAAACGAATGAATATAATGATCGATCCTTTTTTTTTTCTAATAGGGCGTGTAATCAACTATATTTTTTTTCATTTTATACTCCTGAAGTCATAAGTATAGGTTTAATGATTTATACTGCTTTTTTTAACATGTTCGAAAATGTATATATGTTTCACTAATAATATTCTAAGACACAAATTTACTTAATAAAATTTTTATTTTATATTCAATATATAAATTTATATAAATTTGGATGCTTAAAATTCAGTATAGAGAGGTTTAACTGTACTTAATATAAAACAAATATTTTAACATTTTTTAAAAAGATATTTGCTCACCCAAATTTTTATGGAAAAATGTAATTTAATACTTCTACTGCTGAATAATTGAATTAAAATAATTATCATTCCAAATGTACTGTTCTCTATATTAAAGTATTCCTGTCTGAATAATAAATAGAATAATACTCAGTGATCAAATTGATTTAATTAGTGAAGGCTAATATCAGAGACAAACAGCCATTTGTAAAATTGCATTCGATCATAAATTCCTTCTTCTTCTCTGTGATAGCAACCAGGCCTACATGTTATTAAATGGTGCTCAATTCCACAGGGTTTTAAAATACACTATGGTGTTAAAAAAAAATTACAGGCTATCTTCAAACTTTAGTACTAGTTTTAAATTTATCAATATATACTGTGGATGAATTTTTGATAGGTTTGTAGCTAAAAAAATTAATAAATTTAACTTCTTTTTGTTAGGGGCTTATATGATCTGAGTTTTCCATATCTTTATATTAAGCAAACTAACAATTAATTACAGATTAGTAATTGTAAATAAATATTAATGAAATTACCATTTTTATATTAGTTTAAGAAAAGGTCATTGACCACCGTGCAATATTTCATTTGCACTGTGAATAATCTAACTCAAAGGCACTTTCTATTGTGATTCACTAATAAGTTATTTAAGATGTAAATAAAAGTAAATCAAAACTTAGGAATATTGTATATGTTGTAGAATATAAAAATTGTTTCCTATTAAAAAATCTATTTTCAAAAAGCACGAGCTGTAATACAAGAAAACCATTCCATTTCGTATCTTTAAATATAGTACGATACTAATAACTATTATTTTTAGCTTGAGGAATGTTGTAAATGTTACCATATTTTTCTTTCAAATTATAAATAAGTGGATGTGTTATTTTTAAAAAAATACTTAAATAAATCATATATGTTTTATAAAAGTGTTAATTTATATTCCCACATTGTAAAATATTAATCCTGGTTTCCCATATAAAATAGCTAAGTAAGAAAAATTATATCAGAATGCCTAAGTTCAAATAAAATAAATAATTTTCAGATGCCCTGTGAATGGAGTTGCAGACTCCAGTATAATAGCAAATGAAACTAACCTATAAAACGACAGACAATTAAATAGAAATATAACTTTTCATTAACAACGTTTTTATTCCAAAAATAATTAACAACAAATATATTTTATGTAATATTTACATTACATATTTTTCTTGCTTTTACATGCATTTACCAACTGCTCAAAAATAAAAACTTGTGATAAAATATAAACACATCAACATATACATAAAACTGTCTAAGATTTGGTATTTGTACGAAATTATAATCATTTAACAATGTTAACTTTCCATAAAATCATATCACATACATCATTCAAACAAGTAGACTGACAAAGTGAAATAGATATTTTCATATCAATAATACACATTGCTTTACCTCCTATGATAGTTTAACAGAATTTCAAATGATTGGTTCATAAATCCACAAACCAATCAGAATAAATATGTAAGATAAAATCAATAATAAAAATTACTTCCCTGTTAAAATAATTTAAAATGAGCAGTTGAAACAGTAACTGTTTTAAAACAATACAACTACAGATAAAACATCCTAATAAACTTAACAAGTTCAGTTCAGTTGAAAGGAACAAATAGGTATTGATTCTCAATGCTATATAATTTTAATTTTTTTAAAATAAATTTAAATTTTAAATAACAATTGACTTAATTGATCATAAAAATATTAAATCTACAAAACAATAAAAAAATATATATATGTTTTGTTTGTAAATATTATCATGGCACTTATTGAGATTATTTCTTTATTCAGGCAGTCAAAATATGAATTTCCGATTTTCTTTCATTGCCCATTCACCCCAAGTTCTGCAAGCTGTAAAATAAAAAGGTAAATCATAATTCATATTAAAATGATTTATTCTTACTCAATAGATAATGTACAGAGCATAAATAAATCATATATTCTAAATTTACTATAGAAAATGTATACCTCTTTTTCCTCATCAACTTCATCTTCAGTGTCAGAATGATAAGGAGTGTTTGCAGAAGGAGATGGTGGTTCCGAATATGGTCTGGGATATTTAAAGCCTCTCATCTTATCTTCTTCTTCAAGGGATGGAATATCATCATAAACTTTTTGTAATGCTTTTTGCCTAGCTTGTCGGTAATACTGTAATCAAAATAAACATACGCTAGTAACTCCAGAGTTCTCTTGAAGTAAGAGCTATTCAAAAGCACAAACCATTCAGTATTCAACTTGTTTGAAGAGTTTCTAAAGTAGATAAAAATAGCTCTGACTATAATGATGAGTTTAATATTGGAAAGCAGTGAAGATAGGTTAAGTTAATCGCACATTTAATATTTAAATTTTTTTCCCCATCAATTATTTAGGACACATAGTACCTCAGAGAGTAAGTTACTGTGCTACTATGCTCCAGGTCTTAGGATCAAGACTGGCTGTGGTAGGCAATTATTTATTCTGATTCATCAGCCATAGATTGAACCTTTGGTTGATAGACCCTCCTATGGAAGATCCAGCATATATAAAGTGGGAACTAATAGTTAAGTGTGATCTTGGTCAAATCACCTCTGCCTATCCACCATCTAAGAAACAGTACTTTATGATGAAGTACCGTCTATGGGATTATAGTGTGTGATACAAGTTTTTAAAGATCAATTATTAAAATACTTACAACTCCAAGACTTCTCCAATCAAGTAAGTCACTAAGCCTTTCAGTACGGTTCCTCTGGATTATCCTTTGACGTCTCGTAAATTTAGTAAAATCATACATATATCTAGCAAGCTGTTTGATAGAATCCTCAACTGCCATAAACCGTCTATCGACAATATAAATACCGTATGACTGAGGATCTGAGACATGTTGTTCCATGAAGCAACCAAAACCTAGAAAAAGAAAAAAAACAATTATAATACAAGTTAGTAATAAACTAAAATGCAACATGAATTTGTTCAATAAAACATTTATTATTTGACTAAATAATTTATGTTTCTAATGAATGTAAAAAATAAAACTTCTAATGAATGTAAAAAATAAAACTTCTAATGAATGTAAAAAAAAAAAAATAACATGTATTAAAAACAACAAATTAATAACATAAAAATATGATTTGTTTTTGACAGGTTACACAAACTTCAAGATATTTTAAATAAAAGAAATAAATACCTGATAAATTTGTAGTAATTGAAGGAATTCCCATAACAGTGCATTCAGCTGGTGTATAACCCCACGGTTCATAATAACTTGGGAAAACACCAAGATGGCATCCCCGAACAAATTCTTCGTACTCCAATGAAAACAAAGGATTCGTAGAATTAAGGAATTCTGGATGAAATACAACCTAAAAATGATAATTTGTTCAAAACCAGCCAACAAAACTTTATTTAAAATTAATACAGTAAAAGAGTGAGAGAAAAGAGATAAAATTAAATTAAATAAAAACAGTCTTAACTCATGGACAAGTTCCTTTGAGAATAATACAAATTGATATTAATGGAATTATCACAAACAAAAAAATAAATAAATAAACACAATAAACATTAATAAATAATTGAGAATTCAAACTCTGTATACAATGTTTTATAGATAAAAATTCATAAAGAATAGAAAAAAGAATTAGCCCAAATATAAAAAATTTGACAACAGTTTTCTGTGATACGATAAAGCAATAAATGAAAATATTTAAATTGTAAATAGATATATAATTACATCAATAAACAATAAAATTGATAAAGAGAAAACTTAAAGTAGGTACAGCTAACATTATTCTTAAACATCTGTGGAAGATTGATAGTTAAAGAGGTGGATAAATAACTGATGAAAAAAATTAATTAAAAATGAAATATTAGGAATGGACACTCATGAGGAATTCCAAAAATAGTAGGATTTTTAGAAAGAAACAGTTCTATGAGAAGGAATATGCAAGTAAATCTTTGGTAAATACAGAATTGGTAAAGTAAATCAAGGAAAGGATTTAGTTCTTAAGAGGTTAGAGAGCCTAGGTCGCACCAGGAAATGAGCTTTGGAGTTAGAATATCATATATCTTGATGTGATGTTGATATGAAAGGAAAGATGTATGAAAGAACAAGAGAATGACAGACTAAGATGAAATGAAAGAAATCTCAGGGAAGGATAAATTTTGGAAATAATCTATTATAAAAAAGGTTTAGGAAGTGAATGAGGTCTAAAGTACTTCTTAGAAAATTCTGAGGATAGATGTATATTCTGAGTCATCAGTTGTATTGTTCAATAAAGAGATAAAGGTAAAATAAGGAGGATTAAAAAATGTAAAGCAAAACAGGCCAGAGGAATGAAGTATTTTTAGGAGACAGGAAAGAAAAGGAATCACGGGAAATTTCTAGAAAACATATTCTATATGAGAAGGAACCGGAGGAGGAGACTTGAGAATGATTTTTATCATCAGATTAATGTGATGATGAACAAAAAGACCACCAAATTGTTATATACAAGTACATTTAAATAACATACCTTGACCCTATCATGAACTGTATTAAAAAGTTGACATCTCCTTACAGCACTCAAAACAGGATCATTCCAGTCATCTACAACATTGTGCGTAGTAACCGGAGGAAGTCCATATCTTTGCAGGGCAAATAAACAACGTTTCATTTTCATTTTGTCTTCTTTAGTTAACAATTCTTTCTCCTCTGGCATGCGCCCACTTAGAAAATAACACACACAATATTCTCAGATATTTAAAAAAATTAAACAACTATGCATTAAAATATTAAATTTTACAAATTATTAGTTACTAACATTCATACACTAATTACAATTTGTTCTAATAAAAGAATGTTTTTTGGCTTGTTAAACATATCAATCAATTTTCTAACCAAAAAGTTTCAAGGTTCAGGCATCAACATCAACCCACAAAATGAAAAAACTTCAGTTTTCATTACCAAGGAAAAAACATTGACAAGAGGCTGAATACAAATCAATGAAGAGTAACACAGCTAATTATTATAGGAAGGTCGGGTGGAAAATGTTCACTTGGACTGTTTACCTTCAGTGGACTATTGTAAACTTGCACTACAGATTTTTACTCAGAGATATTTTCATGAAGCATTTGTTTCTGGTGTGAGACATGGGCATCAGGAAGATGGTAATCTCTGAAACGTTTATAAAGTATTGAAACAACTCTATATTAAATTATAAAATAATAATAATTTCTGAAACTTTTAACAATAATGAAAATCAATATTATTAAAAAATTAACATAAATAAGAACTTTTCCGGGAACTAATGACAAACAGTGGTATAGTTCAGACCATTGCAAATCAGATAAATGCAAATGGAAACAAAACTGACGGTTCAAACAATACAGCCCTACAGTGTATACGAGAAACTGCTACGGTTGTTGGAATGAGATGGTACCAGCCATGACTGGCCAACTATAGACCATATCTTTATCCTAAACCAGACCATGGAGAAGACTTGTGAAATAATTTGGACCTTCACCACCTCTTCTAAGACTTCTTCTAAACTTACCAAGGCTCATAAGAGGCCAGCTATAACTGACTTGGTGAGGTTTGAAGCTGGTAAATATGGTCAAGGTGACAATGAGGAGCGCCATGGCTGAGCTACATTTTAAGGACCCCTAGATGAATGTTTCCCTGTTAACACTGGAGTATGCTTCGTTGACTTCATAGCAACATTTTTCAAAAACATATGAATCCGGCAGGAATGATTTACAAAAGGCTTATCAATCATCTTGTGCTAAAGAAGTCAATGTCATGTATACCATGTGAAGGGCTCGGACATGTTGAAGGGATTACCAGATAGATATCCACTTGGCCAAGGCCAAGCAAGTGAAGCGTGTCTGGTGGAAGGCAAGGTTGGAGATGGACCTTGGAAAATGGAGAAACCATACGCAGGGCAGAAAAGAATATAAATCAACTATAGAGAAGACCCAGGTTCTCAAAACACTGTAGAGTAAAATAATAATAACAATAACACTAAAAAAAACTATATACATACAATTTAAAAAATAAAGTAAGTTAGCACTGTGACTACTGAGATAATTATTGTATCATTAGTTCATTCATTCCTCACTACTAATTAAAAATGTATTGGATAAATAATTATGAAGAATTCTTACCTCAAACAAATTTCATATAGCCTCTTCCCAATTTTAGATTGGATATCATTTAATGTATCTCTTAAACTCTTTGTAACTGCATGGCCTCTTAATGTTTCAACATTGAAGTTATTTGTTTTAGCTGGAAATATCAAGAAGGCAACAACAGTGACCTCAGAATGCGATTCCTGAAATGAGGAGTAAGAAATTTCATAAATTTTTACCTCTTGATCAAACATTATTATTTGTATTTTTATTAAGAAAACTTGAGGTGATGCAATCATATTTTGGAATGATTTCAAGAAAATCCCAAGTTAATTTTCATTTGCTTTTAAATCTTCAATTTATATAAATAAATATTAATTTTTCTTACAACATATCATTAATACAAGTTTTATTTTATTAATAAAAAATTTAGTCATATTAACATCAATCAAACAGAACAGTTAGTGGAATACCCAAATTATTTTTATAAAAAGAAAATTGAACAATTTAATTAAAACATAAAATGCATAAGTAACGTTTAGTGCACCTAATTTTTTGTATACCTTAGCCTCGACTACAACAGTGCATCACACACCAACTTTAGCCCCTCCTCGACTTTTGCCCTAATTGTGGCCACAACGGTTCACCAAGTTTAATCCTTCAAATTTCAGAGACAAGATATCTTGCTGTGAAACATATCAGGGATAATTTAAGGAATAACTATGTATCAATCCTATTTCTTTAATAGAAATCATGTTTTCATAGCGCAGATTTTATACTATGGAAAGTTGAAGCAAAATTTCCCCAGCTATGAGAGATTCTTAGGTAAAGACCTGGTGTATATCACTTCTGGTTAATTATTTTCTCAAAAAATTACTAAAAGAGGTAAAATGTAATAATTAAACACATTAATTTAAAATACAAAAAAAAATATGAACCCAGACAAATAGTATCTTCACAAACTCACCTTGACCATTTCTTAATATTGTAAAGCATGGAGATTGTTATTAAAAAATTAAAAATCAGAAGCACCTTATTTCAGCATACAAATTTTAACGATAAATTGTTATAAATTTATTGGAAAAAGCATTGGAGGCCAAGCACAAATATAATAAATTTATCATTAATATTTTTAAAATAAGGAGTTTACTTTTTTGAAAAAACTGTTATGATTGATGTTATATGATATAGGTTATATGATAGCTTAGAAATGGCCAAGGACTGTATCTATACCATTCAAACCCATTATGTTAATGATACACAATTTTGAAGCATAATTAGTAAGAAACCTATTTAGAAAAGGTTATATATCATTATCATTATTATACATCAATTGTTAACAAGATTAAGTAAGCAAGCGACATGTCAAGCATCAATAATTAGCAGTCAAACTGACAAAAAAATCACTTATAAAATTAATTCATTGACTAATGCTTTGGTTAGTAAAAACACAAACACATGTAATTAGTTTTAGAACATACCTTCAAGATTCATTCACAACCTCAGCTAACAATAACAAAAATAAATAAAATAAAAATGTTGAACGACAATATTTAGAAACAAAATTAACAAGAGATTGGGCATAAGAAGATAACCACATTAAAACATATTATTGAGTTTCTGTAATTCTGATCTGTAATCTGTAATTTGTTTCAACCGGTACTCGTTCTACAAAAAAGCAGCCCTGTTTGTCAAATTTTCCGTATAGTTTATTCTGGTCTCAGGAATCTCTATCGAACTACTAATCTTTATCATTATTACAATATACTACAAATGTTCACAAATATACATTCATAAACATTTTCTAAGGTAAGGGTTGTTATTATTATTCTATGCCCCCAAAATTCATTTGCTCCTAATCTGACTAAAACTCCTTGGTGCTGCAGGCTGATTTGGTTCTTGCCCTGGCTCCTCAATAAGTCGTCATCAGGTAGATCTTTCTTGTGAAGCCTATCACCAGTTGTAGATATTTAGTAGGTTGTGGGCATCCTTGGCAACAGTATTCTACCATCCAAGCCCAGGTCTTCCTCTTCCTCTTGTCCAGGTGGAGCCTCCCTTTCCTCCTACAGTATGTGTAAAACGTGACCAGTCATCTTCAACGTTTCCTGGCCCGAATATTTGTCGACAATCTTTCTTTAAAATATAAGAATATCCCTCTCCTCATTATAAGTGAGGGTCCAGGTATCTGATCCATAAGTCAAGACATGCTTAATAAGGGCCTTATCCAAGGGACACTTAGAATGGTGGGAGAGGTAGGAACTTCTCAGGTGCTTTCTGAGACTAAAATAGCATAAGTTGGCTGAATGAAATTTTATAATTTTTCTTTCAAATTAAAAATATTCCAACACATGTATGTAAGATAAGTAGTTGAGAAGATAACTGTACTGTACTGTATTTTATAATCTAATTACTTCATACTGGGTAACGCTGGACATTAACCAGCACACAGGAAGCCCTTCTCCTAAGGTTCGAGAGGAGAATATTGAGGAGAATTTATGGTCCAGTTTTCATCAATGGAATCCAGAGGATAAGAACAAATGCTGAGCTAAAAAGACTCAACTATAAAAGAGCTCAGATATCGTAAAGGTATTTAAAGTAGGGCGGCTTCGATGGGGAGATCATTTAATTAGAATGATCCAGGATCACATTCCTAAGATGGTCCTAGGTGAAAGGATTTATGGGACAAGAAGAGTGGGAAGATGTTGGCTCCGATGGATCGATGGAGTGGCAGCAGATGCAAGGTCCATCTTGGGAATCCGCAATTGGAGAGCAGAGGCAACCAATAGAGAGGACTGGCGGACCAAGCTATGGGAGGCCTTGACTCTACAGGAGTTGTAGCGCCACGGATGATGATGATGGTGAATTATTTCATAAGTATCATTTAATGCCAGAAATAGTGTAATCATACATTTTCATTAATCTTAAAGGACTAGAGGTCCTAGAATAAAATTTGCATTGCATGCTTTTTTAGTTTTGCTCGGGTAGTAATGCAACAATTGTTACTAAAAATATTTGCAATGTTTATACAAATGCATTAGACGTTCACAAATTTCAAAGGTGGTTTTTCAAGTTCAAATCTGGCTATTTTGGTGGTTCCGACTCTTATCGATCAGGAAGACCAACAACATTAGACTATGATGTGTTAAGAGTGGAAGTTAAAGCAAATCCGTGTCAGACAATCAAGAAATTGTCAAACAGTCTTAACCAACTTTGGTCGACCAACCAAGAACATTTCCAGCAAATTGGGAAACCACCATATACAACTTATTGCTTCAACGGCACAATACAGAAGTGGTTTTTGATCCTTTGATCACTGAAGATGAAAAATGGGTAGTGTATGATAATCCAAAATGCAAAAGACAGTGGCTCTTCCAAATGAATCACCACGAATTACTGCTAAACCAGGTTTCAAAAAAGCTGTTTTGTGGAGTATTCCCGGTATTGGTCATTTTGAAGTGCTGAAATCTGAACAAACTGTGAATGCAAATCTTTCTTGTGAACAATTGGATTGTGTAAATCAATCTTTAATTCAAAGGTGGCCAGCGATTTTCAACAGAAAAGGCATTATTCAGCAACACGAATATGCAAATTCATACAGCGTAAGATGAACCTTAGAAAAAATCAATGAATTAGGATGGGGGATAATGCCTCATCTACCATACTCTCCCAATATTGCACCATCGGATTTCCATTTGCTCGGATCGTTTCAACACTTTAAGTGGCAAAAGATTTGTAAACTTGAATGATGTCCAAAATGCCATCTCTATATATTTTGCTCCAAAACCAATTGATTTTTATGGATCCTGCATTAAAAATTTGCACACTAGATGGCAAAAGGTTGTTGATAATGAGGGTGATTCCATCAATGATTAAAAATAAAACGAAATTACTTTCTGGTCTTCCTAATATTATAAAACAAATAAGATTTTTGTGTTATCATACAAATCCTGAACAAAATTTGTCAAATGGAGTACAAAAAAAACTTTTTTATAAAAAAAGGTTATCAATAAGAATAGATATGGATTAAATTAATTGATGCATTACAAATTTAATCCCTCTCTTTAATTTTTCTTCAAATTCATCTTATAACCTGACACACTATAATTATGTTAGTAAACAAAAAGGTTTTGTACATGTTAGTAAAAACATGCTTCAGAAGCAACCAAGTTAATGACAATTCACGCAATCTCAATACTACTAAGATTTTCCTTATCCTTTTTTTTCTTTTTAATGGTTTTACCTTCAGATAATGATTCAGTCTAGCTAAACTCTCAATAAAAATGTCAGCCCCTTTATTATTAAATTCATAACGCCCAGCAGTAAAAAAATACAAAGTTTTGTCCAAATCAAAATCATAATGTCTGAAATAAGAAAGAGAGGTGGAAATTCAACTTCATAAATACAAAATAACAGAAATTTCTGTAAAAAAATAATAATGGAATTTGAATAATAAATTTCAAATAAATATATAATAGTGAAATAATCATTAGTGTACAGCAATAAATGGATGTTAATAAAAATAGTATTGTGTGCAAACACAAGGAAAATGCTTTTTAAGCTGCTGTACATATTAAAGATATTTCATAAGCATAAATATAGAGTAAAATTGTCTTCATGCATGGTGTAAACTCAAATGAATGGATTAGTAAATAAAAAAAAATACACTGGATCCTTGTTGAAACATAAATCAAAGATCGAAGAGACTTGAAGGTAAACAAACATTTGTGAATGAAACTAAATTAAATATAAATATAATGAATGATGCTTTACAATTAGATTTGAATCATAACGTCTTTATACAACCATTCTGCACAACTAACATTTTTGATCAATGAGCACCTGCAAAAATTAACTAAGATAACTACAAACCCTAATGTACTTCCATTAGAACATTTATATCTACTAAGTAGAAACAGAAAATTAAATACATTGATTCATATTAAATCAACATCAAATCTTAATCCACAATGTGATGAACTGTATTTAACAATTTAAAAATTAAATCCTTATACCCGATAATATCACCTTAATCCATCTTCGCTAGTGAGTTAGGTTATTGAATACTTCTAATGCATTAATGGTCGAACAGATTGCTAATGCTTTATCCAATAAATTATTGAAACTGAGACTATTACATAAATATATTGCTGCAAAGCTCCCACATCAAAAACAAAAGCTGATTGATACGTTCCGAATAAGTACAAACAAAAATAACAGACATTGAATTTGAAGCAATAGAGCTGACAGCAGTTGATAGAAATATAGATGTTCAGCAAAGGTGAATGGGAAATACTCTGTAAGGATATAAATACTAGGTATTTCAAGCAGTTTCTGTCGAGAATAAATCACCAAGTACTGAAGCTATACTGCAGAGCAATGGGAAAGGACATTAAAGCATCTATGCCTTAATGAGGACAAGACATTAAGTAGGTAAGTATGTGTATAAAGTATATATATCTGGAAATCAGTAAGCTTACTTTATGGAGAAATATGGATATTCTTTATCCTGATTCTTTTTATACTTTACTAATGTTATATTTTCTCATTGAAAACTTGTTGCAGATCTGGATTAAATTATAGGAACATTTTATAAAAATAAATTAAGTGAGATCATTTACGTTTTCTTATCTACCGAATATGGAAACATACAAAGTACTTACTCAATTTTTAGATTGATTGCCAAATAATAAAAAAGTTAGAATCATGTAATAACGAACTAAGCATTATAAAGAGTTGAATTGTAAGAAGGGTCTAAAGTAATTTTACTAAGTCTAATTAACAAATCTTAAATTCTCATTAGGCTAATTATAGATTTTGAAAAAATATTCTACTCACCCATAAAAGTGACCTCGAACAAATTCATGAATCTTATCTTTAGCCATTGCGTGAAGGTTCTGGAATTCATGAAGGGCAGAAAACTTGATAACATTTAGACCATTTGGAGTAATGACATCTGGTTTCTTTTTTAACAGATGCTCCACCTATAGGAAGTAAAGAATGAGATAAATAGACATAACATTTAAATAAAAATAAAAATTTATTATTTATTACTATTATAAAATTATAATATTTAAATTGAGAAAGAATTGGTCGGGGAGGGTGCGGTCAAACAGATACTATATATTAAAATAGTATTTTATTGCATATTGCCGCAAAGCTCCCACAAGAAAAACAAGTAGTTAGTTTATTGGCGTAACCAATATATACTATTTTAACATAAAACATTTATTTGACCGCAACCTCCTCCTCCCCCTTCCTGATCAACTCCTCATATTATAATCACGGTCAACCATATCTACACAATAGTAAAACTAATTCACAGAATGTGCTTACATTTATTACATAAATAGTAATACTAGCTTATATCAAATTGTTTCTTTTATTTTTATATACAAAAAAAAAGATAGTTTTCATTTTATTTATTTATTTTTTCATAAAATCTATTGCACTGAGTATTATGTCATTATTTGGCCAATGTTTAATAAAATAAGAAATTCAAAAACATTAAAACTAGTGGATAGGGTCCTCTACAGGTCCAAGGCTTTGCGGATGATATTTTTGTAATCGGAAGAACCTTTAAGCACATTCCTGGAGCTTAAAAAGGATAGCTGAATAAATCAGATTCGTTAGTAATGAGGCTAAAATAACTAATATGATAACAATCTCCCATGAAACAGGACCATAGACATATATTTGGCCTCTTGTCTACAAAAGAGTGAAAGATTATTAACTATTTGTGATATGAATTGCTCAGGGGATTTAGCACAGAACAGTCTGTTGACAGATGTTACTATTGATTATTTGTGCATATCAGGTGCATAGAGTATTATTTCGACCTTTAACAATCATCCTAAAAAGAATCCATCCACTAAGCTCAAATGCTGTGGAATAGTGGACTATAACTAGGAACTAGAAACTTGCTTTAAACTCAACAATAGTAATTTTTCACTTGAACACTACTAACCTAACTATAATCACTTAGACTTAATGATTTTACAAATCCAACCAACATTTCTGCAACGAAAGATATGTACTAAAAAATAAAAAAAATAGCATAGCTTTGAAATTTCAAAAGTTATACAACATATTATAAAATTTTCAAAACAAACCAAAATATATGATATGCCCCTCTGCTCGATTAATTGCAGTTTCCACTTAGGGTAACAAATTATTTGATCCTTTGGCTTCTGAGAAGAATTGGAATTATATATCTGGAATGTACATTCAGAGCTGTGATTGTATTCCACAAATTTAGTATCCTGGGGCTTTTGGATTGTTTTCACTACAGAAAAGGAATTCATAGGCATATTCATGTTAAAAACTTTATCAAATCAACTCTTAGATGAAAAAAGAAGAGGCAAGCTGCGTGGGATCCTGAGATAAGTGACCTTGAGAAGGAAGATCATTCCGTGGGACGGAATATTTTTCCAACCTCTTATCGATCCAGCCTCGATACTTTATGTAGATTAAGTTGTGAACTTAAACTGAATAATGAACAATATCGTGCATTTATTTTTTATTTAAACATCTGGATGGATGGGTTGGACGCGGATAGTAGAGCTCTTCTTGGACTGGCTAACTGGAGGGGAGCTGCAAGAGAGAGAGACCAGTGGATGAAACTAATTGAGGAAGCCAAGACTCAGCATTGAGTTTTAGTGCCCATGAAGAAGAAGAAGTTAAAGGTCATCTTATATTACATATTGTATGCATGCTGTTCCAGCAATAAAGTTTCTACAAAACCCACCAACACGGATTCTGCTCCAGCAGTGTTCTTCATCAAAGGGTAATTTGAAATCTGATTTGAATGAAAAAACTGAATTCAATAAATAATTTTAAGTCATAAACCAAAAATTCAAGAATATTGCATTATGATTAACTTCAAATAATGAATTAAAGAAATACCTCAAGCCCAGTAACATCAGATACAGTTGTAACAATATTGGCCAAGTGGGTAGCTGCTCGTTCCAAACAGTATCTGTGATAAATCTGTCTTTTACCTGCTTCTTCATCAACATTGAACTAAAAATAAAAAATGATAAACAAAAATAAAATCAATATAATAGAGGCTTAACTAAAAATGAAAAACAAAAATAAAATAAAACAAAATTTACTTACATGAGGCAAATTGTTATAAAAATCTGTTTTACCAGCACATAAGTATCGACCAAGCAGAGTTGCATGGGTTGTAAATATTGTAGCTATTTCAATTTTTCTCGTCCTAACTGCTATTAGACCAGCACCAGCTTGCCATTCATGGAAATGAGCTAAAATCTTAGGTTGAGTGTCGGATAATTCTTCAGCTGCCTTTTTAAACTGAAAATAATAAATGCCATTAGAAGAGGTTAAATAAAGAAGAGTTTAATAATTTAAGTTATAGCAATCAGAAAAAAAATATTTTTGTTCATTACTAATCAATGACTTAAAAGTGAATTTTGATTTATACAACTCAACAGTAACAGTAATTTAATAATAACCATCATAAAAGTTGATACCAATTCGTAGTTAAATATATGACAGAACTGTATTTAAAAGAATTTTATTTCAGTATTTTAAATTATTTTTTTGTGTTTAAATGAATTAAGAATGAAATTAAGATAGTTTATAATTACAAAATCATTAACTCTGTTCTATTCAATTCTGTTATAAAGAGAGCAATTAAAAAAGTTGCAAAAACTATTACCGTTCATACAATATTTTAACCAGATTTTGTAATGAATTTTCAAAATTTCTTCCTCTAAGTCACGACCTCTGTGGGGGCTAAAAAAAATTTTGGTATTCATTTCGATCTAAAAAAAAATTTGTCGCCTCTTTATAATTAAATAAATAAGATAAGCAGTCATAGGAGGAGGAAATAAATAGTAAAGAAAAACCCATAAATTCGATAGATTAGATTGGTGGGAGAAACATGTTAATTAATTATTTTTAATAAATATTGTTGGTTTATTGCTATAAGTTATTAGGTAAAATGAGAAAATTGAACCAGTAAGTAATGAGATGAATATTTTCTCTGTGAAGTGAAAACATTGAGCACCTGTACATATTTTGGTTACTCTTATTATTAAAGAATAATAGGGTTTGAGTTTTTGCATCGATAAATAAAATCCAAATTCACAAGTATGTACTTAAAGTTTTAGATCCATCAAAAATGTACTTATTGACTTTTTCTAACAAACCAACTGTTGGAGCCAAGGCTATTTCAAAATTAAAATACAAACCTTTCCTCAACAAGTTTCTTCAATGATGCGAAATATGAGTAAAATTAAACAAAGGAAATGAAGGGATTAGAATGATGTAAGAAATGAGACCTGTAAATAAAATATGTCGAGGGAGTTTTCATATACCGACAATATGGCATTGTTAGACGAGCTGGATTCCGAATGTTTAGAGGGTAAAATCAAAGAACTGGCAGCGGAAGATGAGGGAATCAGGTTACTATTAGAGTTGACCGCTTTTGGAATTTAAAGCAGAACGAGGTGTAGTTTTCGAATTTGCAGATACGGTTTTGTGAGACTCACGAGAGAAAAAATGAAGGAGAGAGTGATGTTTTCTATCACAATGCCGGCAAAATACGCAAGATGAACACTTATTCACGTAATGGCCGGAAGCCAAACATTTAATGCAGTGCTTAAGGTCTTTAATATGATCGCATCGTTGTTGCGGTGGAAAGTTTTTAAACCGAGGACAGCCGTAGATATGGTAAGATGCTTTACAGATTGGACATTTCATCGAGCCCTCTACTGAACTAGTGGTCATCAAAACCTGCCTCGATGGTTTCTTATACCCAGGCTCGGAGTACACAGCTTCGGTTACTGTAATAGCAAGAAGGGCCTCCGAATGCATCATTTTCCTACGTCTTTGAATAAAGTTCGTGAATTCTTCCTAATTCAGAAATTCAATTTTTGAACTACATTCCCTCTCGAAGCCTTCCCTGGTTTTGACATCTAACAGCCTAAGTGCCTATGTGCTTAATATGAAACCAGGAAGATCGTATATCCCTAGATTGAGGAGTGCTGACACACTTTCTAAAACAACTGCCGATAAAGTTTCCAAATTAGTGAGGTTACAGCTACTAAGTGGTTCGAAATTTAAAATTCTCATGAGGTTGAAGGTGGCTTGTACTCTCTTGCTATCGTACCTTTTGTAGAGCCCTTCCCATGCTTGGTTATACTCTGAATAGGATAATAATACTCTGAATGAATATTCTATATATAAATACATAGAAATCACGGAGATAGCTTGCAACGCCGATTTTAGGTAATGAAATTTTTTAATTTTATCCAAATCATCCCTCTCATGCACTAAAGATTTAAATGTTTCTTTAAAATCCTACCAACTCACAATATCTCCGGAAAAGAATGGAATACTGATAGCTGGCAACAAGGCATGCAAAAAGACATTTCTCTTAACCCTGCTCGTTGTATAAACATCTGATTTAGTTGCTTCACTATTAATTATATTTTTAAGAGCCAATGCCTCATAGAAGGAGGGGCTCACTTTCTTTTTTAATGTTTTATACTTATCTCTCGAGATGTTTTATCTCCTCAGGAGAGAATTAATTTCGATTGATTTGATTTACAATCAAATATATTTCTGAGACAATTATCCCTGGCTATTACAAAAAAAAAAAATAAACATTTATTTAATTAACATTCAAAAGAGTGAGTTGGTGAGAAAAACTAATAATAAAAACACAAGTAGGTGCGGCATTAACAATAATAATATGTAGTAGATACAGCCAATGAATTTCATTGACTTCTCTATATTACCATACATCAACTTCTACTCTAGGTAGAATGGTAAGTAAAAGTTGTACACACATGATAAGGCGATGTACACACTGTCTGATTTTCTTACATCAGTAAAATGGTAATATTTTAAAACTTCATCAGCTAAACTGAGGAGATAGGATATATTTAGAATAAAAATACATACATAAAATATAGGATTCATAAAAAAATGATAGTTACCTCACCAAGAAATGTAGCAACCATGTACCCAAGAATTAAGGCATCGTTAGTTTCAATGTCAGGTTGAGGAATACCAATTTTGGTATTGGACCATAATTCCTGTTTAAATTCATCAAGTTTCCATGATGCTGAGCCAATGTCAAATAAAATAACTTGAGGATTACCCTCAACAAGCCAAGTACCACAGTGCACCTAAAATGTTAAACAATTGTTAAATCTAAAGTATACAAATACAAATAATTATCCTCATATATTTATTATCGCATCTTTATACCAGTAGAGGTTTTAATTTAGTTTAATAGTTCTGATACTATATGTTTCCTGGTTAAAAATTATAAATGAACAAAGAATTAGGTTAATTTGCTTCAGATGTCAGTTAAAAAACATTAGTCAAGTAAATTCAGTATAGCTTCCTCACCGTTTCCATTGGCTAAAAATTATCTATATTACAAATATATATATATATATATATATATATATATATATATAGTATAAAGTGATCTTCCATAGTATAAAGTGATCTTCCATAAGGTTTATTACTAGTTTTAAAATATAAAAGAGATGTTACGATATATATATACTATTGGGATACTCCCAAAAGAAATAAAAGGTTGTTAAATAATAAACACAATTATAAGAATATCAATATACTAAATTAAAATTTATAATTATTTTATCTCAGGTGTGGGTTACTGACAATCAGATCAAAACACACAGACAAACTATTATTATTTAAACTAAACACTGTTTGATTCCGGATCCGATTATTTAAATTTACAGTGTTAAACCTATACCTATCATGAAAATATCCACCCCAGTAAACAACATTTCATCTTATTTTGTGTAGACCTATAAATTTTAAACACTTTTTTCTTACACATATATACAACGATTCTATACCTTATATCCCAAGTCCCTTGTCCTAGCAACTGCTAACTGTAAGGGCGAACCTAATGGAAATTCCATTTCTTCAACTTCAGTTCTCGCAGAAGATTCCTTGTAAGGTCCAATTAAAGCAAATTGGTTTCCTAATTCTTCAGTAGTGATCCATGCTTTAGATCTGATGACTGTATAAATTCCACCAACTGAAATCATGATATAATTCAGCAGTTCAATACAATATATAAAATTATAGAATAATAACAATAAAATAAATGAAATATGAAAATAATACCTCTCTTAAACTATAAATTATAAATAACAATAAATACTCTTATTTCTAAAAAGTAATATATTATAAAATTTGAAAAGCCTTTTCAATTCTTAACAAAGGATTTTAAAGGGTGCAACAATATGTGTCTGACTTGCTTTTTTATTACAAAAATTTATTTGGCATACTTTACTGGAAGAATCTATTGTTTTTTTTAATATATTGTATATTTCAACTCATTTAACACAATTACCATATTTTTTTTATTTTACACATACAAAAGAAAAAACAATTGATTGTTAGCAAAGACAGAAAACAAGGATATAAAAAAATTACATAAAATGTTTTAAAATTATTAATAAAAAAATTGTAATATAAATTTTGTTTTTTTGGCTCCCAGGGCATATTAGGACAGGTCTCAAATATTATTTGATCTAACATCATGAAAACAAGTTTTATTTAAATTTGTGATCCCTCATCTATGACTTTCTTGGTAAGTTTAAAAAGTTCAATAATGACTATGAAACACATTGGAGACAAAGTAATTATTTTGTAATTAATGGAAGGCAATGAGAAAGTAAAATTTTTCAGCAAACGATGTTATTTTGAACAAAGGATGAATAAGAACAATTTAAAGTGGTCAGAAATAAATTTTACAGCAATCACAGAGGAATTGCAAACTCAATAACGTGCACATATTAATATGGCTCAATGTTTCTTAAAATATAATCAAATTAGATTCAACTTAAAATAAAATTAAAAGCTTAAGTTTTTATTAAGATAATATGGATTTTTAATTTCTTTAAGAGTTCTTAAAGTTATCATCAATCATGAATATTCATAAAAAATTTAAATGTTGAAAATATTTTATTTGTTGTAAGGATAAATATTACTTGAAAATAAAGCATTTGCTATAAAGCTACATATTTAGGGAAGCTATTCTTTATAATTATAAACATATAAATTTATATATTTACAAAATTATATATAAATTTATTTAATTTATATATTTACAAAATTATATCAAATGCTTTTGAGGATAACATAAATTTAAAACAATCCGTATTACATAATGTTTTAAATTAAATTCAGGAATATGTAATGAGGAATATTGTAAATGAATAAAAACAGATAATAATCTTATCAACTCAAGGTTGCCCATAGTAGTAATACTACAACTCAGAAAATTACAAAATAATAAATACAATTTTAACAAAATAGAAATATTTAAATTGATTTTGCATGCTTTATACTTAAAATGACTTCCTCATATAGTTCTAAATTAACATTCATTAGTGCATCATTCTCGTAAATTAAAACATAATATATCAGATATAAATTTCTCCAATTAAAACAATGTATTTAATTTGAAATAATATCAAGACATATGTCAAAGAAATTATATGATCTGAATCATATTAATACCTAAGATGATGTACATTTATCGTTTTAACTGCAAAGAAAAAAATTATTTATCAAAACCCAAGTCTAAAATGGGAAAAAGAAATCCTTCAATCATAATATTCAATAATCAGAAAACAAACAAATGATCATATACATGGTAACTACAAGAAAACCAAAAATAGCAATACCTTTATTAGCAACTTCTGAGGCAATTTCAAAAGTCCACCTGTTCCCTTCCGCCGCAATGACACCTCTATTCAAACCGGCAAATAAATCATGGCCACTTTCAACTCTAAAAAACTTTCGACTCATAGACATCCTGCAAATTTGTTCCAAGCATCAATATACATTTTAAATTAAAAAACATAAATGAAACAAAAGATAAGGAGGATTTTAAAAGCAAAGTCTGATAACATCAGTGTCTGACAGAACTTTTTGATTAAAAAATTGTTTTAAGATATAAAAACAGGACTTAAATAAACTAATTCATAATATTAAAAAGAAGTACTAGATTATTAACTAGCATCATCATAAAGGTACAAGTATAGAAAGAAATTTTCAACCACTCACCTGACTATCAAGTGCTGAATGTATGTTCAAGAACTAAAAATTACAATATACTACACTTTAACTAAAGAAAGAGTGGGACATGTGTAGCTAGTGTGAACTGAAGGTCAAATACTGATTAAATTTTAACAAAAACAATTTCTTAAAATCTGATACGGAGTTTTAACTTTTTTTTTGTTTGATTCAGAAGATAGGAGGAGGTAATTATAGATTACTGTTATTGTGACAAAGACATATCGATAGTATTATCCAAATTCTCACTCCACATTTTTTAATAATTTTAACAACTCTTAAAAACCCATTCGGTGTATAAGTGTTTGATTAGTGTGAATGGCTTCTCTTTATAACAGTTAAAGAGGATATTTAGAATTTCTCAATCCAGTCACTTTTTTTTTTTTGTTTATCAGATAGATATTAATTGTGATATAAAATAACTATCCAATCGGAAGCAATAAGATTTTAGAATTAAAAATTATTAAAACTTTTGAAATTAATCTCTTGGAGCCCCCTCCTCTACCTCTAATCTTTCGATTGAATGTTTATTATATTTTTCAATAATAACAATTAAAATGATAAATTAATACTAGGAATTTCTTTTTCAAGCTTTTTCATCTAATTGTATTACATTTAAATAATATTAAATATCTATACTCAATACCTAATGTGTTTTTCAATATGTTGCAAAAACACAACTGAAATTTTTATTATTTAATTTTTTTTTTTTTTAATGATAATCAGACTTAGTTGAGTTAAGTATTAAAATAGAAAAAATACCTTCAACCATAAGCTTATATGATTAAATCTTATGAGGAAGAAGAACAAAACTATATAGTGGTTAGAGGAAGAAGTTTCTCAATTCTTTATTTATATAATTTATTAACGTTGGTCATTTTTTTGTAGTTCATTCTGATCCAGATTCTTATGATTATGAATAAGTGAAATATAGATCCAGATAATACAATTCTTGTGCTCGATCGTACCGTAATTAGTTGCATTTTATGGTGAAGACATGGAATTCGCTGTACCACTCAATTTAGGAAATTTTAAATTTACCGAGAAGTAAACGAAGACTGAGTATCATATTAAGCTTAGGGAGCGTACTAATGTTGAGAATAATTCAGCGAGGAAGTCAATTACAGTCTAAGAATTCTTGTCAAAAGAACAGTAAGTGGTTGTAACCATGGAAACTCGTTAATGATAAGGCAAGTTCCTGAACTCAGCGCACATTTTATTGAAATAATCCATCAACCGATTGAATCCAGCATACAATGGATAGTTAAGAAGAATAATGGACAACAAATTGATTTTAGATAGTTTCCCTTAGTCAGGAGATACTGGTTTCTGGTTTTTGAGGGAAGAAGGTCTTTGATATTCATACTGATTACCATGGTCTGTTCCATTAGGCAGGGGGTACTCTTTCAACTGTTATCATATTACAATTCCACTTACCTATATATACAGGGTATTTCAGAGTTAAGTGGCCAAACTGCAAAAATGAACTAAGGACCTTTCTAAACAAGAAAACTTAATCTTCTGAAAGTATGTCCGCAAACTCTTGGTTTAGACGATATTCACACCTAAATATTTTCGTTGTTATGAATTATTTACGCTATATGAAATAAATAAAACCTATTTATTTGTCCTAACTACTTTATTAATCCAATGTAAACATTAACATTCATATTAAATGATGTTCAAAGTGAAGGTATGTCCGCTAACGCTTTGTTTAGATGGATTAGATAGAATACTAATATGGCCTTTTATCCCTAACTGTATAAAAACTATTGGCAACATAAGGATTAATACTATTTTGAATTAGCATTGGGAACTCTCAGTAACATTTATCAGTTTGTAAGAGGCTTTCGCAGATTACACATCATTATGCCTTCCATTTATACTAATGGTGGATATGCCAATATGGTGTTTGTATACGGTTTTTTGCGATAGTAATGCTAATGCTGCCCGCCTAAGATGCCAGGCGATTTCCGAATAGAAGATTACCAAACAAGTCTATCTTTAGCTCCACGTTTCAATCTCTTAGAGAAAATGGTACGTTTGCTATAATACCACGCGTTGGTGGGATTGTTGCCCCTTTACGAAATGAAGTAAGGAGTGCGACCATATTACAATAATTTGATACACCGACGGCTTTCGGGCTGAAGCCCCCCAAAACGGTAAAATGTAACCAACCATATTTTATGGAAAAAGAATTATCTCTTAAAGTATTATTGTTCCTGTAATTACATTTAATAGGACTTCAAGAATAAAGCTTTCGGGCTGAAGCCTCCTCCCCTCCCAAAATTAAATCCTGGATCCGCGAGTGATTTGATGATAATCCATCTGGCAGTGAACAAAGAGCTGAAGCAGAATTAAATATTACGCCAGCTACAGTATAGCTAACTCTCATTGCAGGTGGACTTCATCCATATCATTATCAATGGGTACAAAATTTACTACCGCAAGATTTTCGGCAAAGAAGACATAGTTCAGATTGGTACTTTTTTTTTTTTTATTAACTTTATTTATTTACCCACACCTGTCATAAGCAATGACAATTAGCGGGTCTGCTGTCGGTAAGTGTACAAGTAGTGGCTTGATCGGCGTGATGGGGAGGAGTACCCAGCCGCATCCCTTCCTGTCTTGATCTTCAATCAGAAAAATAATCATGTCTGGTCGCGAGAAAATCACCATGCAATTCATGAGCATCATTTTCAGCACCAGTTTCAGTGCAATGTGTGGTTGGGGATAATAGATAATAGGTCCGCATTTCTTGCCGTCTCGATTCAATGCGGCCACATTTATGTAATTTCTTAATAATGATTACTATGATTTAGTTGATCATATTCCACTACAACTGAGAAGGGACACGTGGCTTCAATTAGATGGTTATCCTGTGCAGTACAGCATATGTCCACGATAATGGCTAAATGTTAATTATCCCAATCAATGGATTGGCCGTTTAGGACCAGTGGCTTGGCCTGCAAGCTCTCCTGACCTGACATCACTAGATTGTTTTATTTGGGGTGACATTTAACAAAAAGTCTATGCAAGTCCGGCGAAGGACCTTAATTCCTTACGAAGAAGGATAATTGAATCTTGTGAAACATTAACACATATCCAGTTCCGTTCTGCCACTGCTGCTATTGAAGAAAGTTCCCGAGCCTGTCTTAATGCTCATGGAAATCATTTTAAACAACATTTAATATGAATTTAATGTTTTCGATTAAACACCCTGTACATTACGTGTATAGGTAAGTGAAACTAAATACTCTTACTATATATTATACGGATTTTTTCGGGGTTAAGTGGCCTTACTGAAAATAAGAATTAAGGACCTCAAAACAAGAAAAAATTTCTATGAAGGTATGTCCACAAACGTTTTGCTTAGGAGATATTCAAACCTAAAGATTTTCATTGTTATGAATTATTTACGTTATATTAAGTAAATAAAACTTATTTATCTGTTACTACTTTATTAATGTATCGTAAACATTAAATTTATGTTAAATATTTCTAATATTTAATTGTATAGATTGCAAAAATATAAAAATTAAAATTTGTATACATAATGATAATATACAAATATACGTACTATGAAATAAAATGAATATCTGACCTTCTTACTGACACCTTTGTCTGACTAAAAAGAATTCGAGGCACTTCATTATTTATTATAATTAAATAAATAATTATAATATACAGTCATAAAAAGAAATGATTAGTGATGAAAAACGCTTAAATTTAATGTATTAAACATGAGAAACATATTGTAATTAATAGTTTTAAATAATATGCTGTACCATCTATGATTTTTACTTTTAGATCCTATCAGCTAAATGTTTTAATAGTAGTATTACTTTATTTCGGGCGCTAATGACTTAGATGTTTTGAGCCTAAAAAATCAAATGACGAAAAGACCTATTTTTACCAAAATGTGTTGACAATTTTACGTAGGATTTTTTATAGTATTGTTTGTATTTTATCTATGTGTGTTTGTTTTGCCGAACCCCAAAGTTCACTTAAGTATATTCCCTTAAGGTGGAATAAGACTTTCACTGCTCCAGATGTCTAATTTGGTCTCAGTTTGGTGTTGTAGATCAGTCGCTTGTTTCGTAAGTTAAGTGAGGAACTGTAGTCCAGAAGATGTGAGAGTTGGATCATATATTATGAAAATTAATAGTTATAATTTAATTTTGAAAATAAAAAATATTTAAAAAAAAATTACTACAGAAATTGGGAAATTCTATCCACGCTAAGGTATGTACGTTGTGGAAGAATGTACTTCCATATTTACTTAAACATTTTGGTAGATTGATAGGAAAATTTACATCTACTAATATTTAAACTTGATGTGGTATTTGGGTACCTACCATCCCCGAAAAAAACTCAAGACTCGAATATTTACACGCTCGATACATAGGACGAAATTTAATTGCTTGGAGCCATAATGTGTAGTTAAAGACACTCGATTTTTACCTCAAGTTTAAATATTAGTCAATGCCAATTTCCTTAACAATCTACCAAGATGTTTAAATATATTCCCTTAGGGTGGATAGAAATTCCCAATTTCTGTAGTCGGTTTCTTTTTCTTCTTTTTTTTTTTTCTGTAATAAGATGTAATCGTCTGTAATAAGATTTTGGTCATTGATTATTTTATAATGTGGGTACATTATTACTGTTTAAACGAAAGAGATTCAAGGGAATAGTACCAGTATGGTCTATTTCTGTAGTAGGTCTTTTTTTTCTCTTTTTTTTTTCTCTTCTATAATAAGATTTTCCTGACTGCTACTTGACATTCACTTGCATCTCTTTCGTTTTCATAGTTATAATATAATCAGATTATAAAATAATAAAATCTTGTTATAGAAGATAAAAAAAAAAAAAAAAATAACCGACTCCAGAAATTGGAATTTTCTATCCACCTTAAGGGAACATACTTAAACATCTTGGTAGATTGTTTGGGACATTGGCCTTTAGTAATATATAAACTTGAGGTAATTATGGAGTTTCTTTCACTAGACATTATGGTTCCAGGCAATTAAATTTCATCCTATGTATCCGAGCGTGTAAATATTCGAGTCTTGAGTTTTTTTCGGGGATGGTAGGTACCCCACTACTACATCAAGTTTAAATATTAGTAGATGTAAATTTTCCTATCAATCTATCAAGATGTTTAAGTAAATATGGAAGAAAATTTCCTTGGTAGAATTTCCCAATTTCTGTAGACATTTTTTAAAAATATTTTTTATTTTTAAAATTAAATTTTAACTCTTAATTTTCATAACATATGATCCAACTCTCACATCTTCTGGACTACAGTTCCTCACTTAACTTACGAAACATGCGACTGAACTACAACACCAAACTGAGACCAATTTGGACATATGGAGCAGAACATTGGGGTTTGGCAAAACAAACACACATAAATAAAATACAAACAAAACTATAAAAAAAAAAATTCTACATAAAATTGTCATATAACATTTCAAATAACAGTATATATAACGGCTTAAACATCCCAACAGTAAAATCCTACATCCATGATAAATACACTTAATTTCATTCTTCAACTCTAAATCACTTCAATCTATTAGTCCTTTATATTTCCTGCTCCATATTACCTGACCAATGCAAAAATTAAGAAAAAGAATATGACCAAGGGTCCTACTTCTACAATAAACAAAATGAAGCTAATCCAGCAAACTCAAAAATCAAATTTACTAGGTGTACTTTGTTTATGCAAATGGCATAAAATGTTAAAATAAATAAAAATCTGGTATGGTGCGCACATCACACAACTTTCACTTACCACTCTACTTTGAGTAAAAATAGGTCTTTTCATCATTTGATGTCTTAGGCTCAAAACATCTGAGTCATTAGCACCCGAAATGAAGTAATAGTATTATTAAAACATTTAGCTGATAAGATCTAAAAGTAAAAATCACAGATAGTACAGTATATTATTTAAAACAATTAAATACTATATGTTTTTCTCGTTTAATATATTAAATTTTTCATCACTGATTATTTCTTTTTATGACTGTATATTATAATTATTTGTTTAATTATATTAAATAATTAAGTGCCTCAAATTCTTTCTAGTCGGACAAAGGTTTCAGTGAGAAGGTCAGATATTCATTTTTATTTCATTGTAAGTGAAAATGAAAGTAGATTAGTAGTGCAAATGAAAGTAGATTTGGAAAAAAGTAGATCAAATTCAATTACACCAACTGTTTCATGCTTTTTCCATTGTCCCCTGCTTTGTAAGTTCCTTTAAATTGAACTCCACAAAAAATACGATTCCTTCCAAAAATTTATAATTTCAAAAATGTAATCTCAAAAATTCAAAATATACCACCATCAACAATGTTGATGGCACAATTAGTTCCATGCATCCCCCTTTTGGATATATCTGAGTGTGAGACACTTAGCAATCAGATAGTCTACCCATGTAAACTGATATAATCTGTATTTTATAATCCCAATAGTTAATTTTTGATTATGCCCATGATCTTGTGAGAAATCTTTAATATGAACTATAGTTTCTTCTGTTATGTATGTATTATTAATTTTATTTTTCTAAATGTGATCAGATCTTAGACCAGCATAGATTAATGTAGATAATATCTATGTTTCATTTTCTCTCATGAAATATCATATTATATTATACTTTTTCCTTTTTATTATCCTTTTTGTATATTATATAATATTATATGTTTCCTTCACATATCCAAATGTAAATTATTATTACTAATAAACTTCAAATTTGATCCATTTGTAGTAACATTTTTTATTTTCAATTTCAGTGATTCCAACCTATTAGACATTATCATAGAGAACCATATTGCAATTAAAAATAATGTTGAGTCTCTAATTCACACACCATAATCATCAGTGTAATAGGAAATATTTACAAAACTAATAGAGAGTTAGATGAGACAAATTAACAAATAATAATCCACATGCCACGATTATTATTAAAAATATTAAAATATTAAATTAATCTATTCAAAAAAGTTAATATTAAATAAGCAACGAAGAATTGGCAAATTAGTCTGGAATTTTTAAATAAAAATAAGGTTCTCCTTGATAATGGCCATTAGGCTAAAACATTGAAAATGATAATAAAAAGTGTTAGGAGGACCGAACGAATTTGAAGTTTTTAAGAGTCAAGTCTTAAAGTAACAGTTTTAATTATTAAAATATAAATTGAGAAATAGTAAACTTGACAATTTTTTTTTTTATACCAAGATAAGAATAAATGTTTGTAGAATTGAAACAAGTAAACTAAGTAACAATAGAACTGAAAGTGAAAAGATAAAATAATGAACAAAGGAAAAAAAAATGTTTGACAAGTGTATACAGTGTGCAAATAAAAAAAATTTCTACAGCCCATTTTTTGGCCAAAATGGTTCATTATAATTGTTTAACTTGAAATAGGCATATATCAATTACAAACTTCATTTTGCCTTAATTTTATGTAATTCTAAAATTTTATATCTGATACAACTTTTATAACATTAATATTTCAATAATTTGTACACAAAAACATTATTCGTACGTGAGAGCAAATATTAATGATACAATAATTTATATTATTAAAATAGTGTTTCAACCTCTTATTTATAATCCGTACTCTAGAGGATTAAAGGATAAAACTGCATGAGAAATTGCTTGATAAGTTCGTTACTAAAAATTTTTTCTACGGCAATGGGTTGTAGGTCCAAAGAATTTAGTTCTCATCTTAAAGACAACATAGTAAAACATTTTCTACAGGTTTTAAGTTTGTGATATATTGGAAAAAATTCAAACTACCTTATGAAATTGTGCTTAAAGTGGCAAAGCATCCCAAATTAAGTGCTCGAGAGGTTTTGGCTCACATCGCGTCAGCTTATGGGTAAGCTTAAATCTGTAATATCCCAAACCATGAGGAATCAGCTATATGAATCTGTATATAGAGGTAGAGTGGTAAGAAAAATACCTTTTATAAACGAAATAAACAGAAAAAAAAGATTGGAGTTTACTCGAGAACTAGTATATAAATCCAACACATTTTCTGAAAATATGTTGTTTTAAGATGAAATCAAGTATAATAAATTACGAATTGATGGAAAAAAATATGTTTTGAGGAAAAAATGAAAGGCATTTGAACCCCAAAATCTACAACCCACACTGAAGAATGGAAGGGACAGTGTCATGGTTTGGAACTGCCAGGGCGCCAAAGGAGTTGGTGAACTAGTCTTTATAGAGGGGATTATGAATGCTGACAAATATGTGAATATGTTGCAATGCAATTTAAATAAAACTGTAAGAAAGTTAGGAATGGAGAAAACATATATATTTCAGCAGGACAATGATCCCAAGCACATGGCCATAAAACCAAACAATGGTTGCTATATAATGTTCAAAAAATTCTTAAAACACCCCCACGATCGTTGGCTCTTAATCTGATTGAAAATTTATTCGCGATGCTCTAATTACAAATCCGAAAATATACATGTCGCTCTCGGAATGACTTAATAAAAAATCTTGGGAAGAAACTGGACCAGAGACCAAGAAGCTCGTGGAACGATCAAGGAGACTCAATACTGTGATAAACACGAAAGGGGACCCTACAAAATATTAAAATTGATTGAGATTAATATTTATTATATTGTCTTTGGGTTGATTAAATGTATGAATATATTTTTTTTTTGCTTCATAATTGAAAATTTTGATATTTTTCATGCACTATGAGTTGTAAAATTTTACAATTTTGTTCAATTAATGTAAAATGAAGTTTCTAATTGTTATCTATAGCTACATTATGTTGAAAACATAAATAAGAAGATTTTTGGCTAAACATATAGTGTACGAATACTTTTTACTACTGCACTGTATGCATTTATAATCATGATCCCTTTATGTATTCATTTTATAATTTTTAACTTTACTTTTTTATTGACTTTCTCAGCTTGCTAAGAGACTAATAAAAATATTTTATTTTACTTATTCCTTTATTTAAATAAAAATACAGCAACAGATGATTTAATTCCTGTATTTCTTTTTCATTTTTTTTTGTTATAGTTGCCACAAATAATTTTTTATGTGACTCTTCATGGAAGTTTTGCCAAGAATAATGCTGTTGTTATATTTGGATATATTTATACTATACTATTATCCACAAATTGGAAAAAAGAAGAAAAAAAATTTAATATTTTTGCTTTATGAATTTCAATTTTTCTGTTTTTTAACACACATGATCACTGAAGTTTCTCTAAAAGTTTTCTAATTTATTTATTTATTTATTTTAGTGTCATAAATAATTTAAAGTTTAATTAGATTAAGTAGCACAAGAACATGTGTTGTTAAACATGTGATTATTAACTGTATGACCCAACGTAAAGTGTATTAAGGAATTATTAATTTAGTACCTTGGCTTGTCCCCAAAATGGGCATTTTTCTATTCATTATTTACTTATATTTTACATCATTTTTAAAAATTGTGTTCTGCACTGTAGATGTAAATTTAGCAGAACTGGAATACATAGCTAACCAACTAACTCCCATGGAATGTGAAACTCTTGATAAATATTTGCATTCTTCAACCTATGAAGTAACGACTAGTTTGGAATTCTTTTCATTTGGTGAAAGAACTTGTCTTGAAATTTTGATTCATTGGAATAGTTCCCCAAATGAAGGACTAGGTGAAACCCACAGTATTCTTTCACACAGGCTCAAGCAGGTCGGAAGAAAAGATTTAGCTGATTGGCTTAGTAACATTGTCTTTCAACGTTTGAGTATGAAATTAAATAACACAGTCCTGATGAATCCATTCAAAGAAGTAGTTGTTGAAACAAGTGAAATTCCAGAAGCTGAATCCGTAGGCAACAATTCAGACTTAAGTTTCTACCGTGGAGAACCAGATTGGGAAACATATGATACTGTTGCCATACTTATAGCTTTATGTTTATTTATTGGTATAGCATTTTTAATTTGTGAGCTTTGCGGATGCTGCAAGAGTTTTAAGAAGAAAAAGAAGAAAGTAAAATTTTCTAAAAATAAAAAATATAAGTTATTAACACAAGAAGAAGGATCTTCAAGTGGAGAAGATAGTGCTAATAAGTCTTGAATAAGTTTTTTATTTATTTTTTAAAAAATGTTTTAAGATTCTTAGGTAAATTAAAAAAAAAAAAATATGCATGTGAATTTACAATTTATTGACATTGTAAGCAAATGTAATTTTCACTTTGAAACTATTATAGGAATGAATTTCCTGTATGGTAACCTTAAACTATTTCAATAAATAGATACAATAAAAATCACTTAGAAAGGCACACACAACTTCATTTCCGGTTGACCGGAAATAAACAAATCAATTCATGCCATCTCCATATACTTTTCCAAGAAAATGATATTTCCTGCTTAGTTTGCAGATGTGAAAATGTGAATATGAAAATTGATAAATTTTTATATACATTAAACAACAATTACCCATCATCTGTGAGTTACTTTCCAATCAACGTAAAAACTGTATACTATGTACATAGATTTATTTATAAGACAAATATAATTGAAGGTGGCTTGCACCTATGTTCCCAATATCCAACAGACTTTGTTTGTAGGTCGAAAGTTACAATCATTTAAGTTTCTTATGCTAGACCGATATCAGCAAATACAGTATAAGTCACAATACATACTCAATACAAAAACTTTTTTTTTTTCAAAAATACTTTCCAAACTTCTTATGTATTTTCAAAAAGGACATAGCCAAGACTGGCTCCAAATATTAACAATTTATACAAAACAGAGTATATATAAGTAAGCAAATGCTTATAACAATATTAGAAAGTCCCACGATAGGAAGTTCTGATATAAATATAATTAGTACAGAAGTACATACATTTTTTTTGTACAACAATTTGGGGAGAAAATTAAGAATAAAATTTCTAAAATGCATATATATTTTTTAGTAAACTGAGCAAATGTAAATGTAAATTAAATTGGAATTAACTATCACCGAAATAAATAATACAAAGAAATAATAAATAACAAAATCAATAAAGTAATCATTACTACAATTTTCCAACAATTTCCATTCCTTAATTCCTTCAGATATTTAATTATCCAATGAGTAATTTTCTAAAGATTTAATTTAATATGTTATTATTTACTCAATAGGGATGAACTAATTCATCAGGAACTTATATCTAAAAGCCTGAAGCTACGAAATATGTACCAATTTATGAATATTTGCATTTAATATAGTGTCATGTTGACACACAAAAATATTCCACAGCTCAGTTACTTAAAGCATCATTAAAAAGCCTACAATTTCGTAGGTTAAAAGTTTTCTTCTAACTTACAAAATAGGCACCATTATAAGAAATGTCTCATATCACTAAACAAGTAACTGAGAAAACTAATTACAGAGTAAAAAGTGTGAAAATATTTTGTTACAAAGTTCTGAAAAATTTAAATCTATATATAAATATAGTAGAATAAAATCATTTGTGCTTTATACAATATAAGTACAAGTTACGATAAGTTTTGAAAATCATCGACGACAATGAGCGTACAATGGTTTAGTTTTATTCATTAATCATATTCAGTTTCTTCTGAAAGAAATGTTACGGTTAACAATCCCTAATCCACAACAAATGTAGAAATATATTATAGCAATTGTTTAAAATTTGAAATTGCTTATTTCTATTATATATTTACATAGTATCAATGTTCAATAAGAAATCTACAATATCAATTGCATTCATCATCCTATAATTTTTTTTTTTTTTAACCATTTTATAATTTTCAATAAAATTAATTCATCTTAGTTACAATAAATATCAACAAATGTCCAAAATAACTTAATTAAATCGTCTTTATCTCTAAATTCGTTCGAACCAAATTAGTCACTAGGCATTAAGAGTCATTGTGGACCCAGCCTAGAAAAATAGTGTTCTGCTTTGAGGAATAAATCCATTCTCATGAACACTTAACTTCCAAATGGAACGGATCTAATTGACATCAACATTGGCGAAGTTTTCCTGAAGCACGTGGTGACCCACGCACACCATAGCTACTACGTTAGCAGTTTGAAGAACATTATTGCCAATGAGATGTTTACAAAAAGAACAAGCATCACTAACTGTTGTCTTGAAAACCATTCCTAGAAAAAAACAAAATAAGCAAATGAGAGTATAAATATATTTGCGTTGTATTCTTAAATTTATTTCCACTATTATTTTAAGGACAATTATTTTGAAATATTAGGCAATCACATTTGAGTTTTAAATGTAGCAAAATTCTTCATTATTATGCAAAAAATAACAAGAAAGGTATTCAAATTATTTAGATGATAAACTATATAAATAATTAATGATGTAGAGATGGTTGACCGTTGATATAATATGAGAAGGAGTTAGTCGAGGGTGCGGTCAAATAAATAAAAAATTAAAATAATTAATATATTTTAATTTTTTATTTATTTGACCGCACCCTCGACTAACTCCTTTTCACATATATAAATAATTATTTTAAATACATAAAAAAAGAAGCCAGATTTGATCAACGGCTATGAAACTGAATCACTGACTAGCATCTCAGGAAGTGGATTAACAAAATTTGAAAGTGAAGTCATAAAGGAAATTGCTATACAAGATATAAGTAGAAAAATTAGTGACTTAAAAATAAATGTTCCTGAAAAGTAAGATGTAAAGATGTAAATAATAGCATAAGTTGCTTTCACGAAAGTTGGTTAAACTAATAAAGGGAAACAATACTCAATACGTTGCACTTACCGATATATTAGAGAGAATGTTGGTACAAACCTGGTTATTTTAAGTCAAACTTTCTTAGCAATTCCTTAATTAAAACAAAGATAATTATATATCCTATACACAACTATTAAATGGCTATATACAAACCTTTACATGTGGACTGACAAGATAAAGAAGAGGATTTGCTCGAAGTTTTTCCGATTCTTCTTGCATTCTTCTTAGTTCTTCCCTCCTTGCAGAGCTCAGTACAGAAACCTCTTCCCTAGACATAGCTTCACTAACTTTAGGATATCCTTGTACATCTGGGAGACTTTTCTTTCTCTGGAGATTTGTTGTTACAGGAATACTCTAAGGAATAAAATATTATATAATTTCAAAATAATCATAGAAATATGACAGAAGTAATGAGTAAGATTGGTGTGAGAAGAAAAATACGAAAGAGATATTTTTTGCACTGGTTACAACATTTTCAATTAGATCTCAATACAACAGTTGTAATGAATGATTAATATTTCTATTTAAAAAATCAGATTGGTATAGAAAGTATGTTAAGATTCTTTTACAATACATTTTAAAAATAATTGTGTTCAGTTTAGCCTCCAAATTTGTATTTATATTTAATTGGTATATTGCCAATAGGTTGTAGTCCAAACCTGCTATGTTCTATTTATTCCTATTTAGCTCTTTCTACACAGATTTTACAATTATGAACAGTAAATAAAAACTTCCAGTGGCCTTCCATTACATAATAATGTAGGAAGATAAATAATAATGAACTTCATACTTCTTTCCATTTCGTAAAGGAATTAATAATCTTTATAAAATTAAGTTGTGGTTAACTTAGAATTGATTTCAATAAACAGTCAATTAATGTTCATAATCAAATTTATAGTAATCATATAAATTATCAAAAACATTTTAATTTATCAACATGTATTTTTATATATTATCATATAAAATGACATATAATTATTTCTATATTGAATCATATTATATTAAAAAAATATATATAACTTAAGTATTTGTAATGTTTTTCTTTAGCATTGATACATTGCCCCATCATAATTTTTGACTATTATTCTTTCCTATGGGTTTTTATTTTAAAGGTTCCTTTCTGTTTGGGCAAGTTTCTAAACTCAGCGCTGAGCTCCTTGAATCTGTGTCTTAACTGAGTGAAAGAATGGATTCGATGAGGTTCGTGCTGGATTTATGAACTTGCACTTTCTCTATTTTAAACAAAAGTTTTTATGTCTTGATAATGTATAAATAGTGATAATATTTTTTTGAGATTGATATGGTAAATTATCATTAATATGATGTTATCAGCATTGAATCATGTTTGATAAACTGAAATTCGTTGCCAACAAAATATATTTTAAAACCTACAACAGTGACTGTAATATTTTTTTTTACATTTATGTTGTTTCATATATTTTATTACTTTGGAATTAATTTCATAAAGGTATAAAGTTCAATCAAAATAATCCATGTTTGAAATTTAATATTTTGCTATTGACAACATTAAAATAGAACAATAGAAATATTGAAAAAAATAAATAAAATAGTGAGCTATTTTTGATAGAAATCACTGATAATCACAATCTAATAAGGATGGTTTTAAATCAGTTTTAGAACCATTAGAAAATCAAGGATAAATTTTTATTAGGTAAAGTATGATGAGTCAGTTATAGCCCAAAAGTTTCAGATCTGGCAGGCTGCTTTGAGATTGTCTAAATATACACCTCATCTACCATCAGAATTAAGATTCTCCAACTGGAGGGAGGAGGGCAATGTCAGGTTATAATTGGTACAAGGTTAGGCTACCTCTATGGGAGGTGTGTTAATCCAACTTTCGCTCGCCCTCCTGGCCATGAGGGCTGGCGAGAACATGAGGTCTTCCTCCTCTTCATCTTCACACTCCCCAGACCAGAACATCTCAACAGTAATGTTCACTGTCAACTACCTGAATATAGATACAACCCTCCCCACCCTTACTTAGCAGGGCGACTCTTCCCCCTCCGGAGCTGTGTCTAATGCCAAACATTGATATATTTAGAATAACACTCCGATGCTTTCTTAAAATAAGTAAACGACAAGAAAATCATTCTTACAATTATATAGTTAATAATATGTAATGCAAGCACAAAGTGTATGTTATGTAACCACAATTAAGTCCAGAGGAAAAAGTTACATTATCCTTATCAGATCAGATAAATTCCTAATTCAATAATATAATTTTAATAATAATTATATTGACTGAAATAAATATAATAATAAAAATCTGAATTGACTGTACATGTTAGTTAAATTTATAGTTGATACCTAAAATTGATAATTATACAGTAAAACCAAAATCATAAAATATTATGCTACAATTACTTAAAACTGACTATAAACCTTTTATTTGTTTTTAAATTATCATGTTGAAAATACATTGGCATCATCATTGTTAAAAGTGTTATCGACATAAATATTATATATTATATTATAATTGGTTAGAATTCTTCAGAGTAAATATCACAATAAATTAATATTTTCTTCTTTTTTCTGGAAAGTTGTATGTTATTTGGCAATGATGACTTCCAATTAACAACAATTGAATTTATTTGTTGTCTTTCCAAATTACATTTTTATATGTTAACGTTTCAGGATATTTACTCAAATCTTCAGAACTACAATCCCAATGATTTTTGTTGATACATGGCTTAAATCTAATGTGCTCCATCGTCAGGTTCTAATTCAAGTTATAATAAATTAAGGTATATAACATCCAGAGCATCATGATTTTAGATCAGTTATTGGGTGCCTGCATCTAAAATCATGATGCTGCTCTGGATGTTATATACCTTAATTTATTATAACTTGAATTAGAACCTGACGAAGGAGCACATTAGATTTAAGCCATGTATCAACAAAAATCATTGGGATTGTAGTTCTGAAGGTAGGAGTAAATATCCCGAAACATTAACATGTAAAAATGTAATTTGAAAAGACAACAAATAAATTCAATTGTTGTTAATTGGAAGTCCTCATTGCCAAATAACAATTAATATTTTCTATTGAAAAATAAATGACAGAAATAATAATAACTAATTTAGTATATTTTAACAAATGAAATGAATTAAGTTTAAAAACTATTATTATAATCTATAAAATTATTAAAGTTTAATCAGAGATTAAATTTGTAGCTTAAATTTACTAAAAATATCTATAATAAAAATTATTGCTATTAGTAATTATTTGGTATTTTCTATAATTTTAGACCATTAAAATATATACTAGAAAATAAGAAAATATTTCTAAATGTTTTGAAACAAAATATTTGGTAAAAAAACACAGAGATAAACAAGAAGTAAATTTGTATTTCAATAATTTTCAACTGATCAAGACCAGCCTTAAAAACTTAAAAATTATGTCTGTTATAGTATTTATGTAACAAAAAAAACCTGCAGTACAATGTAATAGTAAGGAAATTATGTTTGAATATTCATTTATGAATTCTTTAATGAAATCATATAATTTGAAAAAAATATACCTGTTTTGAGATATTATACCTCAAATAGATGAAAGTTGAATATTCTTAGGAGACCACTGTTTAGGAATAGAATAAAAAAAGGCTTGACTAACCTAGAGGTGATGATAAAAAACATAGGAATTCAGCAGGTTTAGGGTAGATTTCTCTGTCCATCTTGTTTGTACCATAAATATCCATATAATTATTACCAACTTAAAGTTTTCAAAATGGGCACTTGTATGAATTTTCTATTTATATTCATCACTAAAGATTCGATTTTCAAATTAGAATAACAAAATTCTAATGCATTTTGTATAAAAGAAAAAAAAAAACGATGGCTCCTCCTCCAGTCCACATCATAGCTTCTAGGAGATACAGCTATTTCAAGTTATAAGCTAAATATGGATTTTTTTTTATTATTTAAAAATTACAATCTCAATCTTATATACATTCTATTTCAATTGAATATCTGTTCATGTTTATGCGATTTTGTATTCTATACAAGTACCCAATGGGTGAAAAATAGATTAATAAATAAAAATAAATTTATTAGCAGCATTGGCATAAGTACATTCACTTACACAAGGAACCCAGCTTGCTAAAATTGTGTATCACTGACATTAGCAAAATGAGAAATGCATGAAGTGTTGTTGTTGAGAAAAAATCTTGGTCTAATCATCTTACCTTAGGAACTGGCTCTTTTTTCTGAGGAGTAACATAAAGCGATTCGGTTCTTTTTGGTTGATTGGCAGATGGAATAATGTCTTGTCCAAGTCCACGCTTTCTCATAATAACGTCTTCAAAAGGTGATGGTGTCGGATTAACAGCTGCACCCACCACAGATCCATTTCCAGTAGCCGGGGTTCCAGCCCTTACAGAAGTAGGAGTGCTTCCTCTCATTAAGTTTGTAGATGGAGGTACGGAGGAGACGGGTGTACCTAAAAAAACACAATAAAAATTAAAATGCAATCAAATAACAATGAGACTATGTTTTGTTAAACCTGTGATGGCAGCGTCATTTACCATCAACGCTATAGGCGCAGTGGGATGTGCCTAACCTCAGACTTAAAATCATAACCAATTTTCAATTCTGTTTTAAATTTATAATAATAGTTTAGAATCATAGGATTAAGAATATGAACAAAAAAAACACTTTTAAAACTGTTAACATTAGAAGAATCGAGAAACAATAAGTATCCAAAAGTAGAGAATAGGAACTTTAACAGAAAAAAAAAATACCATGAAATATTCATTAATGTCGTTTTCTTGTGGCTCCAAAGATGGATAATATTTATGTGAGTGATGGCCATTGCATAATGTACTCTCACGGATATTACATGCTATCCTCGTTTTTCTGTGATGGATCTGCAAGATCTTGGCCATTGGCTTTGATTGCATTCATATTGCCAGTTGGCCTTTTCCAGACCTACTGGAGCTACTCAAAGTAAAATATCATCCACTTCTTCTGAAACCGAAGGATCCTCATCTTCTGAATTGCTAGTTCCTCTTTTTCCCTTATAATTTATTCATATGGCTCAAACTATGCCAAAGTCTTCTGAATTCGTTCTGGTTCCACATATTTCTTATGACTTAAATGGCAATTGAGAACAAGAGCTTTATTTAGAGGGAAGAGAGCAGATAATAGGGGTATTCCAAACTCTGCGGTGCCATTCCAGGATTAATATATAACTTAAATACTGTTTTTTGTTTTTCAAACTTAAATTATATCATTTTTTGTAGAAAGATTTCATAAATATTTTTTTAAATTATAATTAATACAATAATGTAATACAATTAATATAGTACTTGTATACTAAACATAAGAATTTATGTCAAAAATCAGGTATTTCTATCTCCCTTCAAATGTTATTCAAGGGATTTATTTAATTTTAATCAACAGATATAACTAGTTATATTTTTTAAACCATTGAAGGTGATCTATAGTCCATTCTATATCAATTCTACAAAGTAAATAACAAAGAATTGCTATGATCAGAGGAAGTGAAATAGTGATTTTTGTTTCAATACTTTATATATTTATTAATATAACTTTCTACTATACTACTAAATAACTTTACTTTGTTTCTTTTTTAGCAATTTGAAAACTTTTTAATCACCGATATTATACTTACGCTATCCTTCTCACAGTAAACCATAGATAAAATAAAAATAATTACCTTTATTGAATTATAGACCTCAAGGTCCAAATTGAAACATAAAGAAAAAGTATATTATTTTAATAAAGTCCAAAATCAACCTGTGATGTACTATTATTTCATATGTTTTGAGGATTGGGTGATCTATCAATGTAGATGGCTTAAAAATAAAACAAAAACCATTGGGTTCATATTTCAATAGCTATGTTAAACAATTAAATAAAAGGAACTGTGGTATATGAGACATGAAAGTTTTCATAAATAAAATATGTGAGAAATTACATTCCTCTTACAGTTAAAAAAAAAAAAAAAAGATGAGACTGAATCGTAAACAAGCAAGCTAATGGAAATAGACCACAATAGATGTCCCAATAATTCTTTTATCCTAGCTGCCAAGTTTAAATACTAATTTCAGAACAATGCTGTCTATATTCCTAAGGAAAAAAACAGAAAATGGTAATAAATTTTCTCTTTGCGTCCACTCAATAAATAGAGTTAACTTACAAGTATCTGCTAGTAACAAAACAATGGTATTACTAAAACCTAAAGTTAGAAATCTAATCTACAATTAGATTAATTGAATACAATTATTTATTTTTACTATTTTATTTTGATTGATCACCCCAACCATCCTTCTCTTCCATTATTACTTTTATTTTATTTCTTCATTTTTTCCCAGTAAATTCTATTAGATATATATATCCTTATTACTATATATTAATAAATTGAAGGTCTTGATTTCTAAATCATTTTTTTTTAAATTATGAAAATGACTAGTTTAATCTGCATAAGTAAAGTCATTTGATTTTTTTTTTTAAATAGAAATTATAAGTTTTCTAATTTATTAGTAATTATAACTTTTATTAGAAATGTATTTTATAATAAATTTATTTTTATATAATTAGATATATTATAGAAAGCAGATTACTCTAAGATAGTTTTGTTTCTCAAATTTTAATTTCAAGTAATAAAAAACTATAGAAGAAAAAAATAAGGAAATGTAAAATAATTCTCTTATATTTTCCTGCCAAAAGATGAATTCGCGTTCATACATATGCGAGAATGAGCCCGATATGTCGGTTACGAAAAAATAAAAGGAAGGTTACGAAAAAATGTAAAGACTAAAATTTATAGGAGTTATTGGATGGAACTAAGACCAAAATTTATTTATAAATCTGAGGTTCTTGGCTAAGAGTCTGACTTTATGTTGAATTACAGAAACAATTTCCACAAGTTTCTATCAGTTTTCATTTACAAAAAAAATATAAATATGAAGAACAATATAAACCTTCATCTAAATCTTCGTTTAAGATTTATTTTTTAAATTATTAGAATTGAATAGACAATTTCTGGGAGAGATTGCTATTATTTGAATATAAGTTACTTATGGATAAACTATCAATGGGTAGCACCAATTCAGGATAAGTTTTTAAATTTTTTTTCAGTTAAATGCTCGATAATAACTTTCTATAACTTGAAACATGATTCTTTGATAACAAGGATTTTTTTCTGATGTATTGAAAATACTATGCAAATAAAAGAGATATTATAATAAATAAAAAAGTGATTCAAAGTATTAAGAAGAAATTCGCATCTTCAAATCAACAAAAGGAAACTCCTTATACTACAATTTGAAGAATTTTCTCAAAATAAATCAAGTTCTTTCTCTTTCCAATGAAATTTGAGTTATTGAAAGTTATCATGATTTGTTAACATATTGCCATTAGCTATTAAATTAAGTAAATACAAGTGAAATAAAATTATTATCACCTCCTCGAACGGCAGCAGATGGTGTGACAGGAGTTGTTCCCCTGACAACTGATGGTGCCCTTGAACCTGGGGGCTCCACTTTGTCTACTGATGACTGCCTTGATGGACCACACTTTCTACTGTATCTATCAACACTACTGTCTCTGCTTGGTGGCCTCTTGTAATGATCAAAGTGATCACTCATTGCCTGTAATTCAGATTTAATTATTTATTTTTTATTGTAAACTGTAATGATAACTAAGAATAAAGAAATTAAGCATTAATATTATTAATCTCTTAAGAGAAAGAGAACTTTTTTGGGCTCCCTTGTTACATATCTTTCAACAAAGATCTCTGCTTTATAATAAAAAAAAAAAAAAAAAAAAAAAAAACCTGTCCTACAACCCACGAAGGGTCTTGGATTCAGTACTATTTAGGGAAAGCACTGTTTCTTAATCTAGGAGATTCGACTGAGATCATGCTCAACCGCCAGGTTTTTCCCCTTAATTAATTATTTTAATTAATGGTATGCACTTTATAGAGGCTGGGTGTGCCCCAGGAGGTCCACCAACCCAGGGTTACCCACGGACAATGAAAAAGGATAAATAATTTCTCTGCCATGAGCCGGGATTCGAACCTGGGATCTTAAGCATTGGACCCTACCACTGAGCTGCAATCGAATACAAGATTACAGAGGAATGCATCATTTCTAATAAACTTATAAGACTGGGTCGACTACGAAATATGAACATATAGTGCATATTCAGAGTAATTTCAGGTCATAATCGGTATTAGACAGAGATATACATTGAACAAGATCATGACACTTATGAAGAATTAAAGAAATAATATATTTTATTTCTATTAATAAATCAATTGATTTAGTTTTATTATTATATTATTCCTTTCTCATATGTTAAAAAAATTTGTATGATAGAACAACTCAATTTTTTAAAATAATGTATTAACTTTATTTTAAAAAGATAAACTTAGAAAAAGATGATTAACTAATCCTATGATAGGATTAGTTTATCATCTATAGAAATATTATTTAAAAAGTGATCTTATGAAGTTGGTTTGTAACTTACCTGTTGGAAATTGTAGGAAGGTGATTCACCAGAAAGCTGCTTCGAGTTCCTTCGTATCGTTGCTCGAGGTTGGAGGTTAGGTTGTTGAGGCTGTTCATTCTGTATAACATCCTTTTCATGTGGAGGTTGGGGGATTGGTGGAGTCACCACATGATGGTAGTTCTCTTGAGGTTCTGCATTAATCCCAGGGTTGTGAACTGTCGCGTTTGTCAAATGTGAAGGATATCCTTGCTGTGGAGGTTGTTGCTGTGGAAGGTGTCCTTTATTATCTACCTGTTGATTAGGGAGTTGTGATCTGTTATCATATGGTAGCTGAACATGAGGTTTGTTGTCGTAGGGTGGTTGAGATGGTGCTTTATTAGCTATAGGGGGAGCTGAGGAAGGAGTATTTGGGAGACTTGTTTCTCTGCTTAACGAGGGAGCTTTCTGATTTGGAGGTGGTCTTACTTTAGCATCATCTACAGATGAAGATTTATATTTTTGAACTGTTCGGTTTCTTAGTTTTTCTAATCCTGTAAACAAAATCATTCTTTAAAGAATAAAATTCTTTAAATTACATTGATATAAATAATTCATTAATTATAACTTTGCACGAATTGAATATAACCAGTATTCTTACTTAATATTAAAATTATATATAGTTATTGTATCATTTTTATTAATTTAACTAATCAATATACATTTTATTAAACAATAGTTAGTGTCTAATGCTCAATATTATTTTGCTTAATTATTTCCTTCTTAATTCAGAATACTTATTTGATATTTTTATAAATGCCTATAGAATGTTAGTATAATAGAAATAATAAAAAAATAATTGATATTTACATACATCAATGAAACATGATAAATTAATGAGTTAAGCTTCATGAAGAAATATTACATTGTTTATGATATAAAAAAAATGTTACTAAGCGTAAAACAATACCTGGCTGGACAAAATCCGGGGCAAATTGTTTTGCTGTGGTTTGAGCTATTTCAAAATCTTCCCTTGCTTGATCAGCTGCGAGGTCCGCCATTTCTGCTTTACCGCGAGCGGTCGCTGTTCTAAAATGTAAATAATTCGGTTTAAAATTGTTCATCTTCTCGGTAAAAATACTTTTCTGTTTTAGTTTTAGCTCTGTTATATTCAAATCAGGAATAACGTAATTCTTAAAAAAAATGAATAAAGAAATGGAAAAAAATCGAATAAGTCAAGCCTATTCCATGGCTTGGAAATCATTTGGGAATATATATAAGTAATATAAAAGCAGTGGCGGTATGATTAATAATTTCCTTACCTAGAAATAGCGATATCCGCTTTCTGCAAGGCGAACTTCGAAGCTCTTTGTGCTGCGTTGACGGCAGCGTCTATCCTCTCCCGGAACTTGGCCGAACGGATGAGGAACAGGTGCTTCTTCTTCTGCGAGGTGATGAGGACGTTATTCTTATACTTTCCTTCTTCTTTGGACCCATCCCTAAAGGTGGTCACTCCATAACCATACTTCTTGTTGTTGAACCACTCTCCTTCGTACTTGAGCCCATCCGATCGCTCACTGATTCCGAATCCTGACCGTTTGTCGTTCTTCCACTCTCCAAGGTAAGTTTCCGTTACACTCGCATCCATATGTTCGTCCTGAAAGGAATTTTCATGAATTTTATTCATCTTCGTGATAGTTAAAACAAGCCTTTTAAAAGTTGCGTGAATTGCAGGGAGTTGAGCAATTAAACAGAATTCTTCAAGTAAAATGGAATGAAGGTGGTAAAGCATGTGAAGTTGAGTATAAATCGTTATTATCAGAAAGTTGGGCGGAGACCGAGGAAAAAATTGGTCCTAATCATCATTAGCTCTGTTCAAAGATGATTAGAAGGAACTGGAAAAGAAGTTAAGTTCATTTATCTTGAAAATTAGACGCGTCTGTATCTGATGAGCAATGATTTCCAAAACTCACTCAAAATTCAAAGCTTGACCAAGTAGTGGCACAATATTTGTATAGCACTTTTCACGAAAAGTACATACTTGTTTGAAATTATGTAAGCCAGAGAATTCACACAAGCCAATTACAAAAACATATAAACAATCTAAGAAGTTTTATTTATTTCAAAAATGACTTATTTTTGCCTCCTTGCATTAGGAAATGGAACGAGGAATTTTGCCAAGATTGGCAAACTGGATTATGAACCTCTTCCTGCTTTTACCTCCTGCTGTCACTCCAATATTTTAGATGATATATTGGAAAAAGTCTCTAACAAGGGAGTTCACAGTCGATTTTAACCATTTTTTCTCCTGTGGTACTGTGTTTTATTAAATATTACTGTTTTTCATTTAAAATATAACTAAGAAATAAATAATACTGATTGCCTCTAACCTACCTTATACTTCATACTGTGTTAATGTTTTTCTTTCGGTTATGGTAAAACCAAGATAATTAAATTTTTGGGCATGTTCCACGTTTTATGTATGTCACCATAAAATTATATTTAAAAAAAATTGGTGTGCGCAACACACAACTTTCATTTACCGTTCTACTTTGAATATAAATTATTTTCTGGCAATGCTTGGCTATTATAAAATTGTTGAAGTGCATCTTAAACGGAGCTAAAGTTTAAAGCTTACAGATAACAAATCATTAAGACCATTAAAATTACAAAATGTCTATTTATTATATCGACGGTAGTCAATAAAAATCTCGTTGCTCCATCTGCTTTTATAAACCACACAACTTCAGTCTCTGAGCCTTTCAGTTGACAAAATGACTAACTTCAATTTCAACATTTTTGAGTAAAAAGCCACCAGAATACCCATCCTCTTACCGTCCTATCTCTCTTTTACCCATCATGGGCAAAATCCTGGAGAAGCTCATCTTAAAACGCCTGTATCCCATCCTAGATTCTAACCACATAATCCCTGATCACCAATTTGGATTCCGCACATCCCATTCCACTATCCAGCAATGTCATCGTGTGGTAGACGTCGTCTCCTCTGCATTGGAGCGCGGAATGTATTGCACTGGAGTTTTTCTCGACGTTGAACAGGCGTTTGATCGAGTCTGGCATCCGGGATTGCTTTACAAACTTCGTAAATTCCTTCCCCCTACATATTTTCTTTTCATCAGTTCCTATCTTACTGATAGGCACTTCAAAGTAAATCACAATAATACCTATTCATCCCTCTTTTCTCAATCTGCCGGAGTTCCTCAAGGTAGATCCTTGGTCCTATCCTTTAAACAGTTTATACAGCTGACATCCCAACCCATCCTAACACTGTTATTACCACTTATGCCGATGATACATGTGTCCTATCCGTTAATAATGACCCAACCATTGCATCCCAAATTGTTCAATCACACATCACAAGCCTTGAAGAATGGTGTCAAAACTGGAGGATTAAAATAAATTCTAATAAATCCCATCAAATCACCTTTATCCTTCGACGTAAACCTATGACCTCATGTCCCACAGTATCCTTTAATAATACCCCACTTATCCCTGTTGAACAAATCCGATACCTTGGACTTCACTTGGACAAACGTCTAACTTGGAATCCTCATACCAGACTGAAACGACAAGAAACCGCTCGACGTTTCCGACTACTCCAACACTTACTAGACAAACGCTCTAAACTTCCCCTTAATTACAAAAGACTCATATACTTGACTATAATAAGACCTATTTGGACTTACGGAGTTGAGCTATGGGACTCCACTAAACCATCGAATTCCTCTCGCATCCAATCCTTACAATCCAAAATCCTTCGTAAAATCCTCAATGCTCCTTACTTTGTCACTAATAAAATAATCCATAAAGACCTCAATGTACCATATGTTTCCGATTTGGCCAAATCCAGATACCTATCCTTCCATAATAAACTTCATAACCATCCGAATTCTCTTGTTTCTAACCTTGCTTCCTCTTCGATTCCTGATAACCCTCCGAGGCGTCTGAAAAGAAGATGGCCTCGTGATCTTCTCATGTAGACAAATTATTAGAGTGCTACCAGTGGGTAGTTTCTCAACAAGTCATTTCATGTTTTTATTTTCTGTTATCAAATTTACTTGATGTATTTATACTAATACAGTTGTAAATATCATAATAAAAGTTTAAAAAAAAAAAAAAAAAACATTTTTGAGTAATTTCATTGTAGTGATATTTCTAGTTGAAAAAGTTATTTATACAGACAGTGAGTAAGTTGATTCCACTGTAGGTGATTGAAGTATTGAAATATAGAACTGTGAATAAAGATATAAATTTTGGTGACAAGAAACATCACTAAAATTAATAATAAAGAATTTTGAAATTGGGGTTAGTCATTCTGTCAATCGAAAGGCTCATATATACTTAGAGAGGTTTGAACGTATTTCTGAGTATTTAACCTATAAATGATTATGGATTGTAGGACTATTAGTTATTATACTATTATTTTCCATTGTAAAGTTTACTAAAACCAAATTACGAGATTTTCATTGCCTGCAATGGATAAGTCAAAAGTTGTCACACTAATTGAAAGTGGATAATGTTGGGATTTCACAAAGGAAAAATTCATCAAATTATTCACTAATTTAATTTTCTGAAAAATTACTTGAAATTTTGTTGATATAAACGGCCGATAGATACCTAATTATTCAAATATAATATCTTATCTAGAGTTATTAAACTATAGTAAATATATTTGAGGTTATAAATATGTCCATGAAATATTTTTATATTTCACTTGTTCTTTCACACAAGTACAATGAAATAGTATTTTAAACAATGGCAATGGCTTGATTCGGTGGATTTTAATTACTTTTTTTTCAAACTTAGAAAAACATTTGAAAATTAACATATAGTAAGAAAATTTCAATTAATTTCCTTGGAAACATGTGATTTACGTTAAATAATGTTAATTTTCTTTTTTTTTTTTTTTTTTGGACTAACATATATCTATCCGCACCTGTCAATTATGATTGACAATCAGCAGATGTGCTGGCTTAGTAATGAGAGAAAAAAAAAAAAATAATAATAATAAATAAATAAAAAGGCTTGATAGGCATGAGGAATAGCAATACCCAGCGGTATCCCTTCCATGGCTTTTACTTATTATAACATTATTTCAGCAGATCCCTCATCCAGATCCTTTTCAGTCGTCTTCTGGAGTTCTCGGGCATACTAGTTGTGGCCATTTCTTTTACCAGCTGGTGGAGTGTCCGTTTAACATGTTATGAAATCGTTTGTAGTACGTTCGTATGTGTTCGTTAACTGTCGGAACGTGTAAATCAGTGTGTAAAGTGTGGTTGTTTACGTACCATGGTGCTTGAGTGATTAGTCGTAGTATCTTAGACTGAAAAGTTTGAAGTTTTTTTATGTGAGTTGGTTTTGCAATTCCGTATATTTGTAGTCCGTAAGTCCAAAGAGGTTTTAAAAGATATGTGTAAATACTTAGTTTCTGTCTTGCTTTTAATTTGGAATGTCGTCTTAACAGTGAATGTAACAATTTTAGTCTTAGATTTAATGTGATTCGTTTTTTCTTCACATGTGGACCCCATGTCATTCTCCTATCGAACGTAAGGCCTAAGTATTGTACTCTGTCTGTTTGTGGAATCGGTACATTGTCTATGTATACAGGAGGGCATGTTTCTGGTCTTAGAGTAAATGTGATGTGCTGTGACTTTTGATAATTTATTTGAGTTTTCCAAAGTTTACACCAATCGAGTATAATCTGTAAGTGATGTTGTAAGTTAAGGGATGCTTCTGTAGGATTGTCGTGCCTGGTAATGATAGCAGTGTCGTCTGCGTAGGTTGCTGTAAGAGTGTGGATACTTTGAGGAATGTCGTGTGTATATGTGATGTACAGTAGTGAGGCAAGGATTGATCCCTGAGGTACGCCAGCTAAAACTGATCGAATTGAGGATAGACCTTGACCATGTCGAACGGAGAAAAATCTATCTGAGAGAAAGGAATGGAGAATTAAGTAGTAAGTATGTGGAAGTATGGTCTTAAGCTTGAAGAGAAGCCCCTGATGCCATACTTTGTCAAACGCTTGGGCGACATCCAGAAATACTCCGGTTGCATATAGTTTTCGCTCTAGTGCTGTCGATATGTAGTCAGTTACCCTGTGTAATTGTTGTGTTGTTGAATGTAATTTTCTAAACCCGAATTGATGGTCAGGAATAATCTGTCTGTCTGTTAGTATATGTAATAGTCGTGGGTACAACAGTTTTTCGAATAACTTAGAACATACTGGAAGTAAACTAATCGGTCGATATGAAGAAGGATTGTTAGTGTCTTTGTCTGGCTTTTTAATCATGGTTATGTGTGAGTATTTCCATTGTATAGGAAATTTGGTGGTCCTGAGAATGCAATTGAAGATTGTGGTAAGAAACACTAGAGCTTTCCTTGGCATTTGCTGGAGCGCCTCAGCAGTTATCAAGTCATGACCAGGGGTTTTTCTTTTGGGCAATTGTCTAATTTCTTGTGCAACTTGTGATGGTGTGAAAGGAGGTGGTGGTAGTGTGAGCTGTAACGGTATGTCTAAGTTATTATGTACAAAAATATCGTGTTCTGTATTAATTAAGTCTGTATGTGGTTTGAAAACAGTGGAAAGGTGGTTAGCAAAGAGTTCAGATCTTTCCTCGTCCGAAACAGCCCAAGAACCATCCTCTCTTCGTAGGGGTGCTGACACCTCACGATGCTTTAAAAGATTCCTTGTATGTCTCCATAAACTTCCATCGTCCGTCGAAAGGTTGTTAATAAAATTGTCGTAGTTTGTGCTTTTGAATTTTTGAATATGTCTTTTGAGTTCGTTGTTCAATCTGTTAAAAGTTTGTCTGTCTGAAGGAAGTCTATGAGTCTGCCATACTTTACGTGCTTTTCTCTTTGCTCTGATCAAGTCCCTTATGTACATAGGATAATGGGGCAAGTTCGCTGCTTTTTGTGGCCTGGATGTTGATGAGGCCCATGCTGCATCTTGTATGCTTTTTGTGAATTTTTCAACAGCTTCTTCTAATTCCTCATGATTTTTAATTGAACCTGGAATAGAAAGATTGGTGTTCAAATGGTCTTTATATGCGTCCCAGTCCATGCAGCCTTTTATGAGCCTAGGTCTTTTTTCTGCTTCGGAAGGCGCGTCGAAGAGAACCATGTGCACTGAGGAGTGATCAGAACAAAGATCAGAGCTTGTATTGACGGCAAATGGTACGGTTCTTAGTCCTTTTGTTATAAAGAAATCAAGTAAGTCAGGAGTTTTGCGTCTGGAGGTGGGCCAATAAGTTGGTGAATTTGGAGTTACAGTGTCTAATGAAAGTTCATGGAGAACAGACCAGAGATTTCTGCCTCTTGGAGTAGACAACCTTGAACCCCAGCCTTGATGCTTAGCATTATAGTCTCCACCTGCGATGAAGCATCTTCCGAGGCGTTTGAAGAACTCAGAAAACATCGTGGGTGTAAGCTTGTACCTAGGGGGACAGTAAACTGAGGCAAATGTTATAGTGTAGTGTTTAGTGTATAGTGTTATTCCTGTCGATTGGATGTCGGGTGTAATGGGTAAATCTACGGGATTGTGTTTCAGTGAATTTTTAACGAGTATAGCTGTTCCTCCATGTGCGGTTTTATCTGGGTGATCAGTTCTATAAATTGTGTAATCCTGAATGTAAATTTTTGATCGAGATGTCAGGTGTGTTTCTGTAGTGAGTGCTATGTCGATCCGTTTTTCGTGCAAGTATAAGTCGAGTTCAGTACTGTGCTGTTTCAGTCCGTTGGCATTCCATAGAAGAACTGACAAGGAGCCTACAGTTAAATTATTGTGGGCCATAATTTGGGCACCAGACCTGTGTAACCTGTGACAGTTGTTGAAGAAGAATGAAAAGGGGCTGGATTAGGTTATTTAATCCATTAATTATATTAAATAATTGGGAAGAGCCATTATCTACCGGAGGTATCGGTTGGGTAATGCCTCTCCTCGTACCTGTACATGTTGTCTGGTTCGGGGGTGCTGAACTAGATGATGTTTGATTTTGTTGTTGCGGAGGTCCTGCGATGATCTGTGGTTCCCCTTGGTTGTGACGTTGCCGCATTGGGGGGAATTCATGCATGCCTGGAGGTCCCTGCGCTGGCTCTGCTACTGTGGAACGCTGAAGACGATTTCTTGCATTGCGCTGAACCCTGAGGTCTTTCAGCGTCTGGCAACCTCTGTAATTAGCGGGGTGCTGACCGGCACAGTTGGCGCATTTCGCGGGAGTGTCTCTGGTTTTCAAACATGAGCTGGTTTCATGATATTCACCACACTTTACGCATCGTGGTCGATGGTTGCAATAAGTTTTAGTGTGCCCATATTGCTGGCACCGAACACACTGAGGAATATTTCTCTTTTGACGCGGTTCCTCAATTTTAATATGTGAATAATATAGAAATTCAACATTAAAAATTTCTTCTCTAAATGTCTCTTTTGTAATGTCCACAAAGAACATAGGAAGGGGTTTTTTAAATCGAGATATGACGTTAACTACATTGGTGGCTTCGTAACCCAATTTTTTAAATTCTTCTTTAATGATATCGACTGGTGTTCCATGGTGAAGATGTTTAACAACAATCCTTGGACATTTGTCCTGTGGAAGTTGTTAAGTATGGAAGTCGGCACCTTGTTAATTTTCTGAACTTATTATTTATATTTTTTTCTTCACTCTCCGTTACCTTCTAAGACTTTATTTATTTGATATTATTTTTTAAAAAAATTCTCCGCTTTTCAACGATATATTATACGTATACCTTCTGACGGTTATTTCTAGAGATTGATTTTCAGCTTGCATATGTATTTTTATTTTTTTTTGTCTAGTTTCCAATTATCATATTCTTTCAACTTCATGTTTAGCCATTTTTTTTTATAGTTATTGTCAATAAAAGAGTGTTAATTTTTTTAAATAAACCATATTAAAGGTACTTTAGAGGAAGAGGTATAAAAATTTGGCATTTAAGCCTATTAAACTGACATCAATGGTGATAAGACCTAATTGATATTAAAGACCACTTATTTATACGATGATACACCGAGTTTAATCAATATCGCTAGAGCTGTTTTTGTGAAAATTGTAAAAATGTGTTTCACCGTTGATTTAAAGTGGCACTTCTGGTTAGTCGATTTTAAGGAAAAAGTTGCTGCCACATCTAAGGCAAATACCTATCTTATAATATGAGTTTCGTAAGATTTTTGGTTTTTGAGCTAGACTGTTTACATACACACAGATACATAGACCATTTTTCGGGACTGGGTTATTTGGACTCAGAGGATCTCAAAACGTGTATTTCCGTTGAAAATTCAGATTAAAAAATTTTCATGATCGCAATACTTACTCTTACTATATATTACACATATAGGTAAGTGTAAGTAATTAAGCCGAACATTAAAGTCAGAATCATGTCTAACCATCCCATTTTTGGAATAAAATCAAAGCGCAACAGAAAAAGTATTTTTTTACTAAAGGAGGGATCAATGGCGTAGGCGGAACTACGAGGAAGGGAGGGAGGAAAGTAGGGTTGAAGCTTCCCTGTACCAAAATTGTACAATATGACCATGTTTTATGAAAATGGTATTAAAAAATTATATCTGAAAGTATTATTGTTCATGTAATTACAAATTTAATAGGACTTCAAGAATCACATAAACACCATATCATATAAGTAGATAGTTTCTTTCTTTTTCTTCCGAAGTAATTATCGTTTTATAAATATAAGGGTTTCTGGGTGAAGCTCTCCTCCTCTCACACTCCTCCCCCCAAAAAAATAATAATAAAATCCTGGATCCGCTAGCGATCAATGCTCATATAACATTATCAAATGGTTGAAAAAAAAAAAATGATAAATATTAGAATAGGTTAATAGAGACGAATAAAATTTAAGAAAATATAACAAACGATGTCAGTACAATAGCCAGGTTCCTGAAACGCGGGCTATAAGTAACATGGCGCGTTGCCACCTCACGGTAGGGCTATGGTTATTTCTTATTTTATAGCGATCAAATTAGAAATCTTTTCAGGTATTCGCCAAAGCATTCAAATCATTTTTTTCTGTTGTCTATATGTCTTTTAAGCAAGATTTTGTGGTATAAAAAAAAAAGGTAAATAATTCTCGTAATAGAAAAATAAATATACAATTAGTAGTAAAAAGAGCTAAGATTACGGAGACAAAAGTAAAAATGTGGAAAACGAATAAAACGTGGAAGAGACAAAAATAAAAATTTGGAAAATGGAATAAAATGTGGAACACGATCGAATTGACAAACAAATTTAATTTCTACAATAGCCGAGAGAAAAACATAAATGAAATAGAAAATAACAGATAGATTAAAGGTGATTAATACTTGTCATTTCTTGGTTCAACATTACATAGTTCGAACTACTTTCCAGAAACCTGAAAGCTGGACATAGTAAACTATACATGAAGCTGTTCTTCGTGGGTGTGAAACCTGTTACTTTTAAGAAATAATTGCTGTAACATCCCAGCCATATACAAACCATACACAATTTCAGTTCCGTAAGACTTTTCGTTTTAAAAAGAAATGGAAAGTGATGCAAATGTAAAAATATAACAGTTTGATGTTTGCGAGAAAAATGGTAATTATGAAGATGTAACGTTGTTTTCATTTTGACTTCCCTATGTATGAAAATAAATATCTACTCTAATATTGGCAAGACAAAGTTGTGTGGTGTATGGAACTAGACTTTTGAAGGCAAAGCATTGACGTGAGTGGTCAAATGTAATAACTACAAACTTCGGAGATTAGGATGTACGTACATACCTAAATAAAAATATGTCCATTATCAGGTATATATACAGGATCACTATCAGAATAAAAAAGGTCTTTTTTCGACTTGTGTATACTTAAATCACATATTATGAAGAAGATAGAGAATATCAATTCCAATAACAGGCGGATCTACGGGGGAAGGCTTTCGGGCTGAAGCCTCCCTTCTCCAAAATGGTAAAATGTAACCATGTTTTATGGAAAAAAATATTAAAAAATTACCTCTTAAGGTATTATTGTTCGTGTAATTACATTCAATAGGATTTCAAGAATCATTTAAAAACAATTTCATGCATGTAGTTAGTATCTTTCTTTTTTTTTTCAAAGTAATTAATATAAATAAGGATTATGATTAAAAAATCAGAATTAATTTATGACTTTTTTAAAAACAGAATTTAGTTTAGCTTAACCGCTCAAAACGCATCTTTGAATAGTTTTAACAATGACAAACTCCGCTTTCGATTAAAGTAAATTTTGTCTACCTTACTATGGTGCAATGTTTAATCACTTAAATGTTTTTTTTAAGTCATCGCTTCCCATTCAACAACAAACGTGACTCAATTTAAAAAAACAACACAAATCTCAAATTTTCTACTTTTCTGCTGTAAATTGGGCAATTGTTTATATCAACTTTTTTTTTTTCTTGATCTCTACTATCAACCTTTTAAATATTTCCCTCTATTTACCCCCTCTGAATATACAGTGATAAATATAATGAGTAAATAAATACCTCAACGACAAAACTGGCGTTGGAGTCAGTATGCATGGATCCGCTAGTGACCCCGCTTTGGGAGGACTCGGTGCTCACCCAACTTGCACTGGAGCCTGTGCTCCTGATGCTGCCTCCAGAAGTTCCTCTCTTCTCCAGGTCTCCGGTGCTTCTCTGTTTCCTTATTTTCTGAAACAAAATTATAAAAAAGGTTTATTAATATGGTTAGTGAATAGATGAAAAGTAACTTGAAAATCTCAATGAATACATTTCTTTAAAAATTATTTTATTGAAATTAAAAGTGCAAACATAAATACAACCAGTAAATCTGCTATAGGAATATATAACATAAAGGTATTTGTGAAGAAGCTACCTATTGGTAACACTTAATTAATTTAGGAGGTCCCTTGGCCATCTTCTTTTCAGACGCCTCGGAAATTGTCAGGAATTGTATTGGATGAAAGGTCACGAACTAGAGGATTGGGGTGACCAAAGAGTTATATATATATATATATATATATATATATATATATATATATATATATATATATATATATATAGTTTGGGCCAAGTCTTCCACAAGAGAAATATTGAGGTCTTTATGGATAATTTTATTTGTTACATAATAAAGGATTTTACGGAGGATTTTGGTTTGTATGGATTGGAAACGGGAAGAATTTGATGTTTTTGTAGAGCCGTAAAAGCTCAATACTATATATCCAAATGGACCTGACGATGGTAGTGTAAATGAGTTTGTTGTAGAATATTGGAAGTTTAGAACGTTTGTCAAGTAAGTGTTGTAGTAGTCAGAGCTGTTGGCAGTTTCTTGTCTTTTAAGTCTAGTATGAGTATATTAGGTAAGGCGTTTGCCAAGGAGTCCTAGGTAACCGATCTGTTCGACAGGGATCAGTGGAATATTGCTAAACGGTAGAACGGGATGTTATTGGTTTACGGCGAAGGACAAAAGTAATTTTTTGGGATTGAATACATTTAAAACAGTTAAATAAAATAAATAAATATGTAAATAATAAATAAATACGACATATTTAAAATTTAATTGTAACAATTTATGAAACGTTGGAACTAAAACAAAATTTTGTTTTCTAAGTTCGTTCAAATTAACAAAACAATTGCTAAACGAGAGACGTTTTTTTTTTTTCTAATTTTGAAAATAGGCATACTCATAAATTTGAGTGTATGAAAAATATACAGACGGAAATTGGTAAAATCGGCATTGAATCAAACCCTCATGAAAATTTTATCAAATCGAATTTACGGTGATAGAAGACTTATACTCATCGCACGAACCCATCGCATCGACTACAGAAAGGCATAGACTTTAAAAAATTACAAAACCTGTTCATATGTTTACTACCAACCATATTTCACAGCCATTGTGTTCAATTAGATACGTTAGTTATTGTTAAATGAAATTGACTCTAGGGTATCCATAAACTTTATTCAAACTGAGGTGCAAATCGAACGAGCTGTTCCTGAGATACATCATAATCATGAAAAATAAGTCTGTTCTTACGTAATTGAGAATAATTGGATGAAATCAAATGAGATTAATACAGGATTTTTTTTTTTAACTGGTCTCCCTCTTTACATCTTTCAGCAGAATCGAACAAGTCCGTTCTGAAATATAGGCGTATCGAGGAAAATAAGTTTGTGCATGTCCAAGCGAAAGTAATAAATGAAATTCGGCGAAATTGATATGGTACCATCTCATCGCTCAACCGGATTCAACCCCAGAGAGACAGCTAGATTATGTAGCGGCAAAATTATGTCTTTTCTTTCAACGATAAAATTCCTGATTTAGGCTGGAAAATAAATAATTAGAAAAGGAAATGAATAAAAAGTAAGATTTTTAAGAAAGGTATTGCAAATTTGAATTTTGTCAGGAGGAAGGAAAAATATAGTGTTACGAGAAAATCTTAGTAACTTGCAGAAGAAATTAGCAACGATGAGTTGAAGAAAACAACAGGCAGGAGAATCACCAACATTAATGAACTAATGTTTTTAGTATTAATGCTTTGAAATAGTTTATCTAATCAAACATTTTATAACAAAATAAGTATAATGAAAAACTAATTGTTGAATATTGGAACGCCAAGGATATTTTATTTAATAAATTATTTTCCAATTCAAATTTCTTCTCAAATAAGTGTAGGATACACTAGCTAGAACCAATACACGAATACTCCATTTGGTATAAAAGAATCTGCCTAATGGATATTTACTGTCGGAATACTTTTACGTGGAATTCTGAATAAACTGTCGACATTACCCATTAAATTGTAGAGCTTGGTAAAATTTTATAAAGGAAGGAGATGGTCCGGGGTGGCGGTCATGAATTGGCTAAATAGTGGCAAAACTATTTTATTAAAAGCAAACGTTTCGACCCGACTTTGCAGGTCTTCTTCAGGGCTAGAACGGACAAGATACAAAAAGATATAGAGAATTGTGAAAGTAACATAATATTACGACAAAAAATTATAAACAATGTGAACAACCTTATTAAAATTATAAACAGTAAGTACATTAAAATATAAACAGAGTAAGCTAAGTAACAAGATCCTAAACTGAAGTAAATAGATAGTAACAATTATGGTGTAATATATAATATATGCAAATGTGAATATACTTCTACAGATCTACAGGAGGGATTATTATATATATTATATATTACACTACAACTATTGTTACCATCTATTTACTTCAGTTTAGGATCTTGTTGCTTAGCTTACTATGTTTATATGTTAATGTACTTACTGTTTATAATTTTAATAAGCTTATTCACATTGTTTATAATTTTTTGTCTCAATATTATGTAACTTCCACAATTCGCTATACGTATAATAAATTGATATGGGAACATCTAGGCACCAACATGCACAATCTGAAAATCGGATGAACGGTACTAAGTGATATGACCGTCACATCGATTTGACTACAGACAAGACATCGAACCAAATTTGATCCTTGATGTCTGAAACGTAAAACGCGAGTGGGAATTTTTGATTCTGAACACAACATTTTTTTAACCTCTCGAACGAATACAATGCTTCCCTATCTTCGGTAGTGAGGAAGTCATAGGCCGTTCTTAGAATATAACACACAAAATTCTCTTGACGTTTCGTTTCTTATTAATTCAAACATAATTGGTAAAAATATAGTCATTTTTATTTTTATCTCCTAGTTAGCTTCATGACATTACGGGTCAGTGACATTTGTTCTTTAGGAACATCTTTTTTTATTCCTCTGTTTCAATTACTGACTCAACTTCCTCGAATCTCTCTCCATTCTATTCTCCTATCTGTTTCTTGGCCATTCCCTTTTCTTTGGAATACATTTTTTTTTTTTATTTCATTTCACTTTCCATAACATACCGAAAGTCATGATCTTGATTCCGACGAAAATAATCAGACAAATTTTCTTCTAGATTTTATTGAAGCCGTCCAGAATTTCAGCAACTGCCACCGATCTTGTAGTACTTCCTTGGGAAATATACTACTTGTAATTAATTATACATAATTTTATGTCCTCAATGAATATGTTTTTATTTTTAATTGGGGTGTAAGGTTTTATTTCCTACCTATACTAGGTAAGGAAAGTATTGCAATCGGGTCAAATTTCCGACATGCGGTTTTCGTCGGATCTATACGTTTCACAGCCTCCTGAATCCGAAAAACGCATTTTTAGCCATTGGTCTGTCTGTCTGTCTGTGCCAAGATCTTCTCGGAACTACTGAACCGATTTTCTTTTTTTATTTTGTTGGATTTTGACTACTGATGGCTGTGACAGAAATTCGGTGCTCCATGCGCAATAGCTTGCGCGCAATAAATGAAAAACATGTTTTTCTATAGACCGTAGCGCAAAAACGGCTCTAACGATTTTGATGAAACTTTCCTATAATGTTCTAATCATTGTTCTTTCAATTTTCTTATATAGACTAAATTCCCTACAAACCCATATAAAAATCGTTCATTTTGGACAACTATTATCGAAGTTACAGCTATTCAATTTCCAATGTAATATTACGGTTTCATATCCTGGTGTCAGAAAGGGGTGAATGAGAGAATAAAGATGACTAAGTGAAAGTAAGAAAATCTGTTGACCGCATCACACAACCTTCACTATTTCCTATACTTTTAACAGAAATTATTGTTTGTCAATACTAAGCTATGCCAAAAAGTGTTTGATCAGAAATATTAGGAAGTATTGAAATTTTTACACTGATCTACATTAAGCCGGTTTACATTGCTTTAGTTTATCAAATAAATCGTACTCAAATCTTATGTTTGATCAGTTTTCAGGAAAATGTATCTAGTTCAATTCTTTTTTGTTTCTTCATGAACATATGCAAAGATATAAAAACTTTTCTGAAATAGATAGGAAAGTCGTGTGAGTGGACACACCAGATTTTTTATTTTGCATATATATGTTCCTATATTTGTAAAGACACCGTGGACATCGAAACTGGTCAATACGACTTGATTAGTTTTGATTTTCACAGTCTTTGCAAGTATAAGAACAAATATAAGCATAAGAATAATAACAACTCAAAGAAAACAACTTTTATTTACTTGTTCCACTAATATTACTGTCTGTTAGTAATAAAACATAATATTTTCTATCTCTAACCCTTAGTTTTTTTAAGTGTCATTATCATTTCATTATGACTTGATATGAACCAGTTATTCTGAATATAATCTTTAAAATTAATGAAAAAATGTATATTTTGGAGAATGTGAAGGAGTATCGATGGTGTTTAAATTTTTATTTTAATAAAAATAAAATAAAATGTTTATTATTCCATAAGAACTATTGTAAAATGGATATTTATAATTTATAAACAATACATTTTTTAGTTGTTACATGTAGATATATTTTGTGTTTTTAAAATGAAAAAAAAATACTAAAATAACGATTACAGGTATGTAGACAGAATTTATAAATAGGTATCTAAAATTAAGCGTTTCAAGAAGTCTTAATCATTTTCGAAGTTTATTTATTGTTAAATTAGCAGATTTAAACATATAAATCTGAATTATCTACGTTTTTTGTGAACATTTTCTAATTGTGACGTCATATTCGTGTTCCTTGGCCTTGAAAGCATAAGAATAATAAATTCCAAGTCAATTCGACATCATTTACAATACACGTTGGGCCAGACACCCCTACCG